GTGTATGCGGGCGGTGCGGGCGTTGGGGCAAATGAGTGGCAAAGGAGAAGCTCAAATGGCTCGGTCGATGCCAACTGGCGTGCACGCTGATGCTGCTAGCCACTCCCTCTCCCCCCCTCTCCGCCCTTCTCCCCCACCACCACACCAAGCTTGAACGATGCGACCATCCTGAGCAATGCGCTGGCGCAGAACAGCCAAGAATCGCACGCTACAGACAACAGCGTGATAGATCCCAGCACCAGCGCATCGCTTTCTTTCACGTGAGTGTAAAGTGTGAGGGTAGCGACATTCCCAATGCTCGCCCACATTCCCCTTCGCTGACTCGATGCTTCTACCGCCTTCCCTCACCTTTCGCCCCCTCTTCCATCGCGACACTCGATTTGTCACCCCCTTTTTTGCGCTTGACAAGACCCGATTCGCACACTTCGATGAGAGGATTGTTGCAAGCGAGGGATGCGAGAGCTTTGGAATATTTGCGCTCTTTGCGTGATCTAAAAGAGGCGCAAGATGAACGAGCATCACTTCGTCGAGATATAGCCGGTGCGTCACAATGTCCATCGACGCACACGACCCTGCCAACGCGTATGCGAAGGGGGACGGCGGCGCTCGTCTTCTCAACTCGAAATGCAAGTCCCCCCCCCCCCCCCCAAGTCTCGAATGCTCACATCGCACCTATACCTCCCGTCCATGCGACAATGCCCCACCGCAGTCATCCGATCACAAACATCCACGCAACTGACGGACATTTTGAGCAATCCGGTATCGGGCAGAAGAGCAGCTCGCAACGTGGCGGGAGAAGAGGGAGCGCGTATTCGAAGGATGGAAAAAGCTTTGCAGGATGTGCTCAGCAAGCGAGAGATGGTGCGGGGCGTTTTGCGCGTGAGTATGTTGCTGTTGTTGTTGGAAAAGGAAAGGGGCAGTACAGTGGCAAAGGAGGCGCGTGGACGAGAGAGAGAGAGAGAGAGAAGAGAAGGGGGGGAAAGGAAAGAAAGAGCGTATGTTGGATTGGCTGATGCGGATGAGGGCCAAGCGTGCAAGAGAGAGAAAGCTGACGCTTGCTCTTCCTTTCTCTGCTCGCTCATGCGTTCACCCCGCCCGCAACCACCTGACACGCACACAGGGACTCGTCTTGGAATCTTCCATCGAGTGGGGATCGCATGAACAGCTGAGCAAAATCATGCTCGGCATGGGCGACGAGGGCGAGAGTTCGGGCGAAGAGGCAGAAGAGCAAGATGCTGATGATGATGATGCGCTGGATGATCGGGGTGAGGATGAGGAATGAAGGGAAGCGCGAGAAGAGGGGGGAAAGATTGGAATTCGAGTCGAGTAGACAAAATCTTGCATCAGCAGCTTTGGACATTCTCAAGTCATTGGGGGCCAACGATGCGATGCGGCTTGTAGCGCGCCCCAGCAATCATGATCACCCTTCTCGAGTGGCCAGCTTCTCTTCACCACGACAGAGCTGCTGCGCCTTGACAGTCACAGGAATGGCGCCGCGCACCATCCGTGCCACACGTGGCTATTCAGTCCACCACGACGCTTTCGACCTTTGATCCGATACATTACAACGCCGTGTAGCTTCCGAGTCCCCCAAAAAGGACATGCTGATGCGGGAGGAAAACAGAAGCCAAGTCTGCTCATGACGGAGGGTTCCGGATGACAGAAGAATAGAAATCATGTACCAAGAATTCGCAAATTCTTCCGACACTCTTTCTCAAGATCGAGCTCTCTTGTTTCCAGCAGCAGCAGCAGCGCTTCCCGCCGGACCTGCGCTCTTCCTCTTCGTGGCCGAAGCAGCGCCTCTGGAGATGGCGTTCCTAGCGCCCATCATTTCCCTCTGCAAGACCTTTTCAAACGTCCTAGCAAATTCCAGCACCTCTTCATTATCCGCATTGAACTTGTGACAATTGTCCAGCATCATTCGCAGATCCTTTTCGAACGCATCCACCGAGTCGTACCTTGCCTCTTTGAGCTTCTTGCCGATCAGACTCAGATCCCGAGCTTCTTCCCTCTTCACAATGTCAAAGTAGTGCCAGTAGACGGTAGTGTCGACGGGTTCGAGGAACAAGAATGCGACCGGCTCGGCTCGCAGACGGCTCAAGACGCCAGCCAGGATCCGCTTATCGCCTTCCTCCAATCGTCGCACCATCGCCTCTGCGAATTCTTTGCGAAACGATTTCTCCAGCTTGCTCGCGTCTTGCCCGACCGCTGATAGAGCGCCATTGAATTGGTGCGCATTGGATACGATCAGCAGCACATCAGCAGCCAGCTGGCCCATATCCTTGTAGTCGTGAGCGAGCAGCTTGCGCTCCACCGTGCCTAGATCCATGGGAGCCTTGACCTCTTGGTAATATCTGCGCGACGACAAGGGATGCACAGATCAGCCCATGTTGCGCTCGCTCCCAGCCAAACGCTTGCGCCCGCACTCACGTAGGTAGAGCATTCGCGTCCACAGGATCCTTGAACCAGTGCGCCTCTGGTCGTTTTTTGAGCGCAGCAAGCATAGCCCTTGACTGCTTGAAATGCACCGGCTCGCCATTCCCAGCAGCGACCGGGTCCAAAGCGGAGAACTTCTTGCTGTGGGTCGGCGTGGTCTGCGTCGTGCTGGACGTGGAAGGCGCAGGCGAGAGGAAACGCGCCGGACTCGTCGTAGCTCTCGCCTCCGCACCCTTTGCACCTTTGGGCGCGGACGGAGTAGCTGCAGGTAATGTCGCTGAAGCTTCGCGTTCAACGCCCACAGGTGCAGGTGACGCACCAGCTCCAGCGTCCTCGCTGGCCGTTTTAGAAATCTTTGGCTTCAACTTGAGCTTCAATCCGAGCTTTGGCGCGCTCGTCGAGGGTGTGGCTGTCGGCGGTACAGGTGAGGCGGTCACCGCCGATGTGCGCGCCAGACCTGAGCCCGCAGCGAGGGGCTCATCAGGAGAGTCTTCTCGCCCCGGTAATGTCGATGTAGATGGCTCAGCCGCTATCGCCGCCGTTTCCGCCTGCGGCTCGGTCGCACTGCTGCTCGCCTGCGCTTCCGTCGGCACAACCTTTTCTCCTCTAGCCTTCGCTTCAGTCTGTGCAATGGTCTTGTTGATGGCGCTCCATCTCTTTCCAAACGCCTGTTCCAAAGCCTTGGCATCTCGGTGCACTTTGGCCGTCTCCGAAGGCGTGAACGTCTTGGCGTTGCGAATCATCAGGTCAAAGTCCGTTTTAAAGTCGAATCGGTTCTGGTAGAGTCCAGCATTGAGCTTGTCGCGCATGGAAGAGAGATCCATCGGATCGTCGATCACATCAAAGTAATTTGGCTAGCGAGAGGAATGGCGTGAGCGTGAGCCTACGTTGATCAGGAAATCCACGCTGCGATCCCCACTCACCGCGCCATCTCGAACAGGATCTACAGGCAGTCTGAAAGCGGCAGAGTGCTTTCCCATACGACGATCGTCAAAGAGATCCTTGATCATGCTTCTGCACACTGTCAAGTCCGATGGGGACATGCCCGAGCTCTGCGCCACATCCACAGGCTTGGCCTTCTTTGGCTTAGAGGACCTCTTGATCTTGACTGCCAAAGGAGCTGTCGTCGTCCCTGCAGCGCTGTCCGAGCTCGGAGCAGCAGCAGCAGCCGACGAAGCAGAAAAGGAGACTTTGGGCTGCTGCTGCGCCATGGTTGTAGTGCTGCTGGTAGAGGCATCTTCCACCTCCGACGATTCGGCGATGGACGCTAGAACATCCGAAGAGGTCGTCTTGATTCGAATGCGTGGAGTAGGGAGAGGCGCAGCACTATTCTCTGCTGCAGTTGCCAAACTAGGTACGCGCACGCGCAAGGACAATTTGGGCTGAAAAGGCACATCATGCTCATCCGCCGGCTTGAAGAGCATCTCTGCCAATCTCAAGAGTGCCCACCTAGTCTGCAAGTCGGCAGCAGGGCTGAGCAGAGCGCTCAGGAATCCTTCTCGCACGCTTGCAGATCTCCCGATATCCTTTCGCAACGGCCGCAACAGAGAGTCTACCACCGCCTCGTCCTTTGTCAGCGCAAGAAGTTCTGTAGGCTCCGCCTGACCTTCATCCAAGATCGAAGCTGCTGTAAAGTCTCCCGTTGCGATGGACACTGCTAGAGCTTCGCACATTGCATTGCTGAGCGCCCTCTTGACCGACCTGCTCTCGTCAGTCTGTAGCACGGCAAAGATGTATCTCGTGATGACCTTGTGCTGCAAACCTCGCATCAGCAGCATCGCTCCGAAGGCCGCCGTCCTCACCGGCGCGAAGCTGCCCTGTCTCGTGTATGCCAAGAATAAGGGCAGATCCACCGGTTGCAGATTGGCTAGCGTGAGGACAAGATTAAAGTCGATGGCTGCGAGGGTGATGGTGTTGTGAAAAGACGGCACGAGCTTGTCAAGCTCGCGAAACCTCTCCACCTCGTAACGAGCCTCGAGCAGCAGTTCTTCGTCGTACCGCGCGTCCGGATCCTCATCCGCCGGCACAAAACCGCCATAAAGTCGAGAGGTGGCAGGTACAAAAGCGCCCGAGAGCGCTTCGATGATGCCAGCAATGTAGAATTCGTCGGCGTATCGGTTTGTCGAGTTGTCATTGTATCTCAAGAGATTGATGAGGAACCTCTTTACCTGAGGCAGAGTCCTGCCTCTAACGTTCCTGACGCGACTGATGGCTTGAATGATGGCTTTTCCCACAAAATACTCTGCAATGTTGCCAAAATCGTTGGCTTTTGGAATGCAGGGCTCGTTGAGGTCCACGCGATCTGCCCGCAGGCCCTGCACAGCCCTGGAGTCTGCAGGTATCTCGTGACAGAAAGCTCGGCGGAAAAGCATCAGGAGATGAAACAAACCCAAGTAGTCTTGCTCCTCCACCGCACTATTGATCAGAGCGTGCGCAGCTTCCATTCTGACTCTGAAAAAGTACTTTTCCACCAGCACCGTGCGGGTAAGGGTGGAGCAGGACACGGGGTTGGGCAGCTGAGCCAAAGCATTGATCGCGCTCATCTGCGCGACCACGTCGCGATCTCGCTCCAATTGAGAGACCCACATGAAGTCGGGCTGATCAAAGTGAATGTTGGCGATCCATTCAAAATCAGCATCCATGCGTATCCACTCGTGGGGAGCCGAGGCCATGATCTTTTCATCCTCCTCCGTCCAATCCGCCACTCTCCATTTCTCTCGTTCCGCCTCATCTTCCCACAATGAGCAGGAAAAGCCGAGGTCTATGAGGGTCATGGCTTCTGCCGCATCTTGATCGCCCTGTGCCGCAGCAGCAGCAGCGGCCTGTCTAGCCTGAAAACGCTTCGTGTTTCTGCGTACTCGCTTGTACTTGGTGTTGAAAGGCACTTCGATGCGCTTCGATGCAGCGTTGATGTCGAAGACGTGCTCATAAGGCGTCCCATCCGCCTCGTGTATGCGGGCTGTCATTTGACCTTCAAAGACTTGCGAGGGATTTGAAGATGTGGCCTCATGGGGATGCTGAGCGGCAAAGATCGCCGCAGGAGACTCTTGCCTGATGTTGAACTCGATGATGAGCTTTTTGCGATTGAATTCGGCGCTGCAATAGAAAGTAGGGCATCCGCTCGAGTAGATCCACTGCTTTGCAAAGGCTCTGAGATCCACGCTACTGACTTTGCGGCACGTGCGCAGAAAGCTAGAAGTGCTGAGGGTGTTGCCGACCAATTCGCCCGTGATGGCTTGCAGAAGCACGCGAGGGATCACTCGACCGAGACCCAAGGAAGCTCCAGCTTTTCGCAGTCGACGATCCAAAATGTGCAGCACGAGCGGGGCTTTGAGGTTCATAAAGGTCAAATAGCTTTCGTCTGGCGGCTCCATGCACCCCTGAACGCAGAGAGGCGCCATGCCAATGTCCGCCGCGCAGACCTTGTCCACATCTTTTCTCAATCTGAAGCGATACTCGTTCTGACCCATCAGTCTGCGCAAGAATAGGCCGGAGAGGTACAAGCTGAGAGCTTGCACTAGCCAGGTATCCGACCACGTCCTCTGGATGATGTTGATGCCGACCCATTGGAAAGCCAACGCTTGGTGCAACACCATGCGCGTTTCCAGCGCCTGCTCAATCACGTTTGCTGGATGAAGGAGGTCCGAGGAGAGGAGCAGTAGGGTAGCGGTGGTGTGACAATTAGAAGGCGGTTCATCCACAAAGACCATGCTGAAGGACGCGAACGGATAGGATCCGTAGTCGCGACTGTAGAAATCCATCGCTGCGAGAACGGTGCTCGTAGTCGGAGCGAGATCACCATCTCTGCCCACCAGCGCGTACGCATGGATCGGCACTTGGCTCTTCGAGGCACTGTCTTGCAGAGTGCGGTGCGGTGCGCCGTGAGAGGCGGAAGAGACGTCGTAAAGGACAAAAGGCCCTGCTGCGATGCTAATGTGATGCACAGAGGTCGGCACGGCTTGCGAAAAGTAAAAGACCGACTTGGACGCCTTGTGCGGGTGCGCGACCTGATCGCAGATTGCAGCGGTGTTTTTGATGGAGTCAGCCGCGCCAGTCTTGCGCGGGTGGCGCCGCAAAACTCACCTCTTCGACGAGATCTCCCGAGGCGAGGGCGATGATCGCTACATCCTCATCCTGACCTGCGCCGGCGTCCCGCAGTGTGGCTGGAACGACAAGTACAATGTCCCACGTGCATCGCTCCCACAAGCTGTCGACGCAAGGTACCCAACACCTCGCAAAGTCGGGACAAGTAGGAGCCAAATAGAGGTGAGGTGAACGATGAGGTGATTCGGGCGTGGGCGAGATGAACGTGAGACCTTCCGTTGGGTGCACCAGGGTGTACTCCACCCTGACCAGGAGCGTCGGCAGTTCCGAATTCTGACCCCCGGGTGTGGGAGCGTCGATGGGAGTGCTGGCAGAGGAGGAGTCGAGGTTGATGGTCGGCGGGATGAGAATAGACAGCTCTCCACCTGCCCCATCGGATGCGGCTGCATACAGCCTGCGCTTGAGTTCCGGGTACAGGTGCACATTGCTGGGATCTGAGAGTGTGAGGTCAGACGTGTGATCCACAAACGAGTAATCTGCAGCGATAGAGTTGATCGAGACGCGTTGTATGCCTGCGATGCAGAGCACCAAGAGGTGTGTTAGCGACTTGATCAGGCCACTGCAACAAACGTGCTCGCCCGCCACCACACAGCAGCGCCCGCCACTCACCTGGACCTTTGAAGTTGAGGTGAATGACGCGCAATGCCTTGTCTGTAGGTGCGACAGTCAGTTCCGTGTAGCCAGACGCGATGTGCCTCTCCAGGTCTAGATCCAACGCCACCTTCTGATGAGCAACAGTAAAGCCCCGCGACGGTATTCTCGCCATCTCGACTTTTGTGTGTTGCGGGATGTATGCATGTGTTCAGGGATGTAAGCAGATGAGATTGCGGCTGCTGCTGCTTCGAGAGCGTGATCGGCTTCCAGTCGGTCAGAGTCGCTGCGGAGAGAAGAGAGGTTGTTTGCCGGATTCGATCAGCTGTGCCAGCTGATCAGACCATGATGCAGATGATACCGACGGGGCAAGCGTCCATAGAAAGGATGTCGCAGAAGCTCAACATCAAGCCTACAGCCGACTCCCGACCCGCTTCGACGAGTAGAAGGCTGGAGTCGTGAGTTTGCAGTCGAGAAGGTCGAATGAGGTGACGGAGTCAAGAGTAAGAGCCTGCGAGGTGGAGCGATCCTCTTGTGCGTGCGTGCGCGCGTGCGCGCGTCCGCGAGCAAAAGCCCGTGCGTGGAAATCAATCACGTGACATAGATTCTAGCGCGTTCTCACAACCGCTAGCAGCACCGCGGCGGCCGTGATGTGTCGAGCGAGGCTGCTGAATGAAAAGTCTGGAGTCGTGAGTATCATGGCGCCAGCATGCTTGTGTTGTTCAGCAGAGCTTCATGTCGCGCACTCATCCTCCTCGATCCTCCTCTCCTATACCTGCGCATCATCGTGCGTGCATGCCGCCTGCTGGCTGGCTGGTTGGCTGGCTGGCGTGATGATCAAAAGTCCAAAGCAAAGCCCGAATATTCACGATTGATCGAAGATCAAGCGTTGGTGTCTATACTGCTGTGTACGCGTCGAGCTCGTGTGATGTGACCATTCAAGATTCACATTCTGATTCAACTTTGGATTCAACTTTGAAATGAATCAGCCAGCCGTGCAGTAAGCTTTTCACGATTCGATTCACATCTTTGATTAGAAGAGCGCGTCGCTGCGTGTGATGTGATGTGATGTGTTGTGTTAGTCACGCGAGCGTGAGTCAAGCGTGCGCGCGTTCGAGTTGTGTCTGCGCTTGTACAGTCACGAGTGCAGGGGCCATTGCGAGTGTGAGTCGTGAGCGTGTATGAGAGAGAGGCACAGGCACAGGACGGGCGAGCGCATGCCTGTGCCATGCAGTCAGGGCGATCGATTGATGTTAAGCTCGTGCTGAGCCGACGCGATGCGATGCGATGCGGGGCATGCAAGAGAAGCAAAGAAACAGACGCGTGAGAGAGGTCAGTCATCAGTCAGAGTGTGAGTCGTGAGTCTGATGAGTCTGAGTTGTGCGTGTGAGCTTGGATGTGAGTCGTGAGTGTGAGTGTGAGTGGTGCAGTCAAGAGTCACGATCGACTCAATCAAGTCGCGGGAGAGTTTGAGTCGTGGGTCAATTGCAAGTCACGAGTGTGGGTCAAATGTGAATTCAAATTCTCGATCACACATTTACAGCGCGATCGATCGACTTAATTGCTGAGGTTCGGCTCGGCTCGGTTGACCTTTCTTCGGTGCTCCATCACTCATCAGACTCGCCACTTCAGGCTTGCTGCATCCCACCGTCACGCGCGAGCGTGAGCAGCTTCATCAGGCTCACCACTAACCTTCTCCTCCCGAGAGGCCATCCGATTCGATCCTGTTATACCCCCTTCGTAACGTAATCGCCACGACGCGACCGGCAAGTCTCACCATCGCACCTCGCACCTCGCACCTTGATCAACTGTCCAGCGGCCCCTGACCACGCCGCTCCTCCCATCGCTTTAGCTTCGACCGGACTCCCCTTCACGCACCACTGCCGTGTCCCTTGCCCCGAGACTCGCCTCCACTCCCAGCTTCCTCTCGGTGCCTGCCTTTCATCACGAACACGCTTTACGACCTTGACGACAGACACGCCCCCCCCCCCCCCCATCTTCACGATCACCCTCCCTCAAGCCTCTTCGCTAGGCTGCACGACACCATCACGAGCCTCTTCTGCGCGCACACATCCACCCTCGCCTCCCACTTGCGCGCTTGAGAGCGCATACCTACCTACCTACCCTCCACGACGCACGACTCACGAAATAGGCGGAGATGAGGCGTCTGTTTGGGCGCCTCACCGGCGGCGGCCCACAGTCTCCCAATCCCAAAGGCAGCTCCGATGGCGTGTACGCGGGCAACGAGAAGCAGAGCGGGAGCGGAAGCGCAGCATCGGGAGACAAAGTGCGAGCGCTAGCTGCCAAGTTTGAAGCGCAGAGCAGCAGCTACAGCGACTTGACTGGCGACACTACGCGGATCAAAAGGTACAGGAGCTCGGCGCCCCCTGTGGATGCCAGCATCATCGACGACTTGCCCCGACATCCTCTCGCCCCAAGCGAGCATACGCATACGGACACCACTTCATCGCCCGTGGGCAGATCCGGTTCGCATGGCCCTCTGAGCACGCCTTATGCGTTTCAAGCCCCGGCTCCAGCCTCCGAGCCAGTCGAGCCTCTCGCCAGACCCCGCAGCGGAGCAGGTATCAAGTCGGAAAGCGAGAAAAGCAGCAGCAGAGAAGCGAGTGGGTCCAGTGGTCAAGCTGCATCCTCTTTAACAGGCCCAGGCCCAGCAAACCATTCTCTCGGAGCGGCTGTCAAGACTGTAGCTTTCGCACCTTCCCCAATCAAGAAAGCAAGACCTTCTTCGCCTTCCGCATTGACCGACGAGCCTTTACCCGTTCAAGCGTCTTCGTCATCAGCAGCAGGCTTTGCCAGACCTACATTGGCCAGCGCTGCTCGAGCTAGGAGCTACTCCAAACCTTCCTCTGCTGCCGGTGTCAATGAGTTTGGCGTGCCCAACATGTCCTCTTCCGGGCTGGCAGCACACTCGCTACCCCGCGATGGAGCAGGGGACCTGTTCGCAGGGGCAAAACGCACCAATTACTCGCTGCCCATCGCCTCTGGAATAAAGAATCGACGAAGTCAATCGAGTCACGGGACGGGCTCCGCCAATCTGAGTCGCAGAGGCTCGCTGGGTGCAAATACGAATGGAGGGTCTGCTGACGGTGCAACGAGCGGCATTCCCAGCAGTATTTCCGCGCCCTACCCTTCGGGCTTGCCGGCCGACGTCGCAACAGCTCTCGAGGGCGGCGTTCCGAGACTGGTTCAGACGAGCAGCAGCACAGACGATGAGCAGCGCGCCGATTCCCTCCTTTTCACAACCTCCAGAGAAGGTGGTAATGCTCAGCCAAGGTCGGTCAGTCCTTCCAGCTTCGTATCTGCCCAATCTTCTGCGCATGGTTCCAAGGCTGGCGGATCGCTCGACACTAGGCGATTGAGCACAAGCACAGCGGCGGGTGCTCACATGATCCGCAGCGCAAGTCAGGGTAATGTGACTTGGTCAGCTGCTAGTGCGGCGACTGGAAGCGCACCGAGCTGGAGTCAAATGACACAAAGGGATCTGGTAGATAATCTGGGACCTCGGGAAAGGACACGCCAAGAGGTGCTGTGGGAAATTGTAGCAAGCGAGGAGAGGTAAGTAGAGCGCAGATCGAACGACACGCGTCGCTCTTGAGGAGGAACTGACATGGAGCGAGACGGGGCTTGCCCCTGCACTTCAGATACGTCAACGAGCTGGAAAAGGCCAAAGACTTGTATCTCGACGCGTTACTGCATCCTCTGCGTTATCGTTCCAATCCCACCTCTCCTCAGATGACCACCACCTCCAGCTGGCCAAATACTTCCGACTCCCCTGCAAGTCGCAGCAGGCACACTTTGCACCCCATCGACACTTCCAGCAGCGCAGAATTGCCCATCGCTTCGCGCTACATGTCTCCGCTATCTGCCACAAACACTCGCACAGGCTCAGAGGGGCACGCGCAGAGCTCTTTGTCTGGCAAGAAAGTCTCGTCCGACGCTCAGAGTAGCGGCGGTGCTACGTCGGGGGCTCAGAGCAGAGCGCCTAGCATAGCTGCTGCTACCACAGCTGCACCACCGCGGCCTCCAAGGAGTAGCATCGCGCGTGGGCCGGGCATCGGAGCGCCGCGAACGTCCACGCGAGGCGCCTCGGGTGCGACGTCAAGGGACGCGTCGGCGACGTCTTCACCTCAAATGGGTAGCGTGGCATTGAACGTCAAGCAGCCACGCAAATCATCACGAAAGGCAAATAGTCAGGCTATACAGAATCCCGTCTCTTCTCAGACTGGATACACCAACTTGGACGGCTCTGCCTTATCCGTTCCTTTGCCCAAGTCTCTCAGAGCGGTGCTGGAAGCTCTGAATGATGGCCTCTTGGAGGGTCACACGTTGCTCTCTGAGGCTTTGCGCGTCAGATACGAAGAGCAGTGGCCGCTGGTCCGTAGCTTGGCGGACGTGTTCACGAGGTACGACTACATTTTGAAGCATTACAAGAGCTACGTCATCCATTTGGAAAGGGCCTTGGAAGAGCTAGAAGAAGCGGGCTTGATGGAAAGAGCTATGAGAGGCAAACGGATCAAGAGGGAGAGATTGACGCAGACCGTGGGACTTGGCAGAGCTGTTGCGTCGCTCGAGACGAGCGCTGCCGAGAGGGGCGAGTGCGGTCTTTCAATTTTTATCTCGATGCCTTTTCAAAGACTGCTCAAGTACCCTCTGCTCTTTCAAAACCTCCTCTACCACACCGACCCGTCCACTTTCGAGTTCGAAAACACGGTGGCCATGGTGGTGGATGTGGAAGGCTTGGTCAGGTCCATCGAGAGTGCAAAGGTGTCTAGCGAAGAGAGGGACAAGGCGTACGACGCATTTGCTCGCATAGATGGAATTTTGGATAAAGCTGTGCTGAGACCTCGACCGGATAGGTTGCTCATCGAAGAGCGGCCCCTCTATGAGGAAGGTCCTCGACGAGCCGTCTCGGAATCCGCGCCAAAGGATGAAGTCGAGCGGAATGGAGGAGGGGGGGTCAGCGAGTCGGAAGACGAGGGCCCAAGCGCGAGCAAGGTGAAGGGCTCTGGAGCACTTGCACACTCTTCAGGTGGGACGGGAGGGTCGAACGCGACCAGCACGGGCAAGAGTTCGAGTCTGAGAGAAGCCTTGAAAAGCAAGAGATCGTACAGAAGACTGTCGGACTTTTTGTCTGCGGATGACAAGGCTACCAAGGCGCCGAGTATGGGAAGCAAGAGGGATGTTTGGGTCGTCAAATTCTCAGACGTGGAGCTGAAATGCCAACGGGTCGGCGTGACTGCGCTTCCTATGAACAGCACCACTGCCTTGCGTCCCTCTGGATCGAGTATCGGTGCGCCCGCGCCGATCAAGGATGAGAGCGGCCCACAAGCTTTTCCTTCAACAGAGATGGACGAATCGGTCGACGTGACGACGGGCTCAGAGCCCGCGGCGGATTTTGCAGCTAGGAGCAAGGACAGCAAGGAACGATTGAAAGCCTTGCGAAACACCACTTTGAGAGCCAAGACGCGCAACCTCTACAAATTTGTAGGAGTTGTAGCCTGGCGCAAGGCTGCTCAGCCCTCTACGAGCGCTTTGCAGGATGAGCTTGCCCAAGGCATTCAAGAAGCGGAGGAAGATGAGGATGAGGAGGATGAGGATGAAGTGGGAAGTCAGGCGTCCGAGGAGACGGAGGCTGGCATGTTGTTGGACACTGAGAGATACGTGAGACAATCCACCTTGAGCTTCAGCTACGCTGGCGACGAGGTCCTGCCCAGGGCGCATTTGCCCAACGCGCACGGCCTCACACCTCTGAGACCCTCCTCGAGCAGCGTGACGAACGTTTCTGCTGCCGCTGCTGCTGCTCCGACGCACGCATCTTCCGTGGCCGCATTCAGGTTTGCCAGAGCTGGAGCGGCGAGCGAAAAGGTTCGACAAGCGGCGGCAGGCCACAACATGGTCAGGGGCGACTCGCCAAAGGTCAGGCAAAATCCGCAGCATCCTACCCAGCAGCAAGCTTTCTTGACCGAAGCAGAAGTCGTGTCCAAATCGCACGGCGTTGGCCGTCAAAATAAATTCGGAGCTCGATTGAGATCATCTGAATTGGGCTCCGCTGGATCAGGAATCAACAGCAGCTCCAACAATGCGCCGCCGCCGCCGATCTCTGTCGCTGCTGGCTCGCGAGCCGGTACTTCTCGATCTGCTGCTGGCATTTGCAACAGCAACGGCAACTTGCCGAGCGCCACGAGCAGCTCGAACGGACATGCTGGATCTTATGGCAAGAGCTACGAAGGCGCCATGGGAGGTGGAGGTGGAGGTGGACATGGAGCGGATGCTAGATCGGTGCGCAGCGGAGGGGCAAGGTCGACGGGAAGCACGAGGGAGAGCCAGCTGATGATGGAGGAGAAGCCGCATTTGACACGAGACCCATCGAGCATGAGCTCCGATCTCAGAGTCGTCTCCAAGTACATGTCCGACTGAGACGCTTTGTCCTTTCCTCTTCTCCTTTGCCCCCCCTCCAAAACGACATACACACTCACACACGCAAACACCACAAATGGACACATTTGCATGCTCTGACATAAGTTCGACTTGCTCTGGCGCGCAGGGAGACGTGGCCCGCTTGGAAAAAGTTACAATGCGATGCCCCGCTGGTTTCGCATTCGGGGCAGATGTTTTTTTTTTTTTTTTTTTTTTTTTTCCGCAAGAAGAAATGCTTGTGCGTGTAAGAGATGTGACGAGAGGATCTCGACGGATCAAAGAGGGGGCGGCAAGATCTGCACTTTTTGGACTTGCAAAGTGCTCCGATGGACCAGCACGACTGTGCCAGTCTTGTTGAAGCTGGGCAAAAGCACCACCCTCGTCGCGCTCCCCTCGACGCCCTCATCCCCTTGCTCCGACTCCGACTCGGGCTCGGGCTCGTAAAGCGTCGTGGCGAAGCGAGGTTGGTTGCCCACAAAGTAGATGCGAGGTGAACGGGTGATGAGGAATGGATCTCGATCCGTGAACGGATAGCAGCCTGCGCGAGCCAGGGTGCAATGGCAGGAGAGTCAGCAAGCGTCACAGCTCAATGTAGTGGCGGGATGCTGCGCAGTCAGTCTGACGCGCGCGCGGACGAAGCTCACACAGGGTATCGGGAGCGGTGGGAGCTAGGTGACCCCACCGCAGCGTATTGCAAGCCATGCGCAATCGATCTTCGTCTGTTCCTCCCTCCACGTATTTGAACAGGTCATCAATATTCTGCCCTGAAGTGCCCAAGATGCTGATTCGGAGAGAAAGAGAAGAGCGGCGTCGGTGAGCTGATGTGCGTATCAGCGCGCAGACCAAGACGATCGTCACATGTTCAGATCGGGGTCGTGAGAAACAATGTAGACTCACAGAGCGTTCCCGAACGCGCTCCAAGCAGGGTTGGTGGATCTGATCAGAGCGTTCGAGCCTTCTGCAGCGCCTGCGGATCGGGGGAACAGAGCTTTATGAAGTGGTTGTTGGGGCATGGCGAGTCCAGCAGGATCTCTAGCACCAGGCAAGATCTGCACCTGGATAGACTGGGTCAGCGCAGCCAGATAGTGATCCAGCGGATTGGTGTTGAAAGCTCGGGGCCGGCCCTAAGTTCAGAAGATCGGCAGAGGGCGGCGAGGCGTCAAGATGTCAGTGGCTTTGCAGCACCGACGTGAGGCATTCGCGAGCTCAAACGTACCGCCTTGTTTTCCACTGTCCGCAGTGCCGATGGAACAGCGCAAGAGTTGCCGGCCAGGATCAGGGCCGAAACATCTCGAACCGACACACCTGCGTCGATCTTTGCGCGGAAATCGATGTTGATCGTGTCAGCCTCGCTACATGCAGCTCGATGGCTGACGACGCGAACCGTGCCGGTCGGCTCACCTCCGATAGCGTCTCGCCCCTCAGCCATTCGGCAAGCAATTCGTTTCTGAGCATCCCTAGCCCATCGTCTTCTTGTCCAGCACTCGCACTCGCGCTCGTGCCCTCCTCTTCTTTCGTCTCAAAGGCCTTCTCATCCCCGACCTCTATGCCAGAGACGAGGGCTACCCAGTCGCCTTTCTCACCATCCACATCCATGGCTTCGTCCCGGCTCTTTGCGTCTGACTTGGCCAAGCTTCGAGGGATGCCCGGAAGGATGACATCGACGACATCAAAGTCGCCCGCTCTAGTCTCAGTCCCCAGCACGGCACATACCACGCCGGTGACCAGACTGTCCCTCCAGCTGCGGCTATTGTGCGCCGAGGTGGATCCTTGCGAGTCTGCAGAAGCGTCCATTGCTGTTCCACCCACGAGCCGTATTCTGCCCGACTCGTCTTCGAGAAAGATTTCGTCTGTTGCGTTGTCCGCGTATGTTGTGCGCGCTGGGACGGGGGGAAGATATTGCTGCGAGGGCGGGGCGGCGCATCAGCACTGGGGGGTTGTCGATTGAGCCTGATGGGCCGCATGTATGCTCACCTCTCTGGTCAGATCTTCCAAGACATCCGGTTTGAGACGCATGGAGCAATAAATGATGCCGCAAACGACCATCATTTTGCCCTGATCAATGTCCAAGATCCTCTCCACGTACTGCACTCGATCTCGACTGCTTCTTTTCTTCTCCTTCTTCTTCTTCTTCTTCTCCTCCTCCTCCTCCTCATCCTCGTCCTCCTCCTCCTCCTCCGCTTCATCTTCCATCATCTCTTCATCGTGCGCGCTATTCTTGCGCTTGCCATTCTGCACGCGCGTACGCGTATGCGATCCTCGCTCGAGCGCTGATGCAGCTGCAGAACCGTCTCCCCACCTCTCCTTTGCCTTCTTCAACAGACCCCCGCCATCCCTCTTCACGCCCTTGAGCTTCCTGAGCCTGAAATGGTACAATGAGGCGAACTGGGGCGCAAAAGATCGAGTGGAGAGAGGCACGGTGAGAGGCTCATTGAGGTCTGAGGGAGCAGATAGAAGCGCTCGACGCGATGAGGAAGAGGAGGATGCCTTGCTGGGCATTCTCGTCCTCTTGGCCACTTGCGAAGGTGATGTGGGTTAGGCGCAGCCGTGCGCTCTATGCTGCTGCGGGAATGCAAACGCTGTGCGCCGTCGAGATGGTCGAAAGAATCAATTCCGAAGCGTACAGCTTTCAAATCTTGATTCATCATTCAGATTGGCACTCGCACACGCCGTCGATCGAGAAGCACCATCGATGAACTCGATCCGCCCTGCAGCTGACGCGCAGTCACGATCGAGTAGCTAAGCTAGCTGGACGTACGTGTTAATTGACGCACGCCCATGCACCCCTCCGCGACGCGTCACGCGGGTATATACGAAAAGCGCAAGGCGGGGGGCTCTCATCACGTGACAGTGCGCTAGCGGCGGCCTCTTGACGTCGATTCACAGCTCATCACACTCATCACACTCATCAGATTCTCCAACAGCCCTTTCCACAGGGCAGGGCAGATGCACAGGAGGACCTCAAAGAATTGTTACATCGGGATTGAACTAATCATTCCAATTTCTTGCATGGATATACGACACAGCATTTGAGTCTTGGGATGCATTTGAGTCTTGGGATGACTCAATTGAATCTTGACAAGCTTAGGAAACAGATTGGAAACTGCGCTTCGGTTCGTAGTGGACCTTTGATCGTATAGAATCAACTATTCTATTCACAAGCTTTTTTTGCTTCAGGACGCCGCAGTGCCTGACGCCAGACCTGTAGCCTGAGCAGCTTTGTACACCACTACATATCCCGTCCTTGAAAATGTCACCACTTTAGTCGCAGGCTATACGCAGTGCGCCCGAATGCTGACGAACGTTTATAAAGTCGTGAGTCGACCGTCGCCCCACCCAACGATCAGCGTGTCGTGCTGGCTGGACAGGAGTTGCGTGTATCACGTGCTGCAATGTCAATTGATTTCGAATGTGAATCTGACTCCTTGATCGAATCAAGAATCTGTGAATCCTTTGTGCCCTGCAATCGTCTTTCAATTCGCGACTCATCAGAGTGAGAGTGAAGAAAGAGCCTTGTTCACCATTGATCACTTTTGATCCAGAATCTGATGATTCGAACTCGTCATGTTCGATTCTTGATTCACATCTAAATTTCAGGTGTCGCGGTCCTCGATCGAAAGGATATCGATCTCGACAGAACTTCCCGCATTGCGGGCACATTCACATTCAAGCACATGCGTGGGCATCGCCGCAAGTCCAGAGTCAGGCTTGGAAGAGTGACGCATGTGAATATTAAACGAAAGCACATTTCCTCAACCTTTGTGACTTTACATGAACATCTCATGATTGGAAAAACCGCATCTTCCGCTTACTGTCATGGAAGACGACCTTGAGGCTGACCCCACTGCTGATTCTCGGGCGCACCGGTCCAGACCTTTCCGGGAGTTGTGCCGGTGTTTGGTTGAGTCCACTGCTGACCGGTCGGCAGGTAAAGATGCGTCTGATCATTGCCATCCTTGTCCTTGTACTGCTGGTTCCCTTTTGGACCTTGTTGAGCATATCCGGTCACGTGGGGATGTCCATCCGTTGCGCTAATGTGGAATCCAGTGCTGGCTTGATAACCGGTCATCTTGGGATCGTTGTTGGCATTGTGGAACTTGGCGGCCGATTCCGCTTCCTTTTTCTCCTTGTCCGACAAATTCTGACCCTTGGGCGAGTAGGACATGCGCACTGGAGCACCGCGTCTCAACTGCAAGTTTTGACATCGAGCAGGTTCAGCAAACGAGACGCTGCCAGCTAGCGTCTCCTATGATCGCTCGCAACTCACGTATTGGCTGAATACGACATCTGTCGCGGAGCGCGGAATTGGGGCACAGTACACAAAAGACTGAGCAGCGACGAGCGCGACGAGAGCGATGAAGAGGGCGAACTTCATGACGGGCAGAAAGGACTTGAAAGTGATGTGATGAACGGAGAGCAAAGCGGTGCTGGGCAAGATGCGAGAATGTTCAAGCAAACACTAAAGGAAAGGGATGTGAACAGCTGCGACCTTTCTGACCAGCAGAAAGATTGAGCGAGAAGAAGATAAAGCAGAGCGATAGGAGTTGGAGTGGGATTTGGATGACCGTTGGTGAGGAAAGGGGGGGGAGGACATGAACGAGCTCGTCGAGGGGCCCTTCTTCTTATACCCTTCTTCCAGCAACGTCGAGGTCGACGATCGTGCCCTTCTGTAGGCAGCATGCAGGCACAGCTCACGCGAGCTGGAACGACTTAGCCGAGCGAGCCCTCAATCGAATGTACCGCTGAGCTGGACCATGCAGAAGGAGAATTGAGGCGTGAGCAACCCAATGCATGCGGATGGGCGCACAATTTCCTTCCGACATCGCATCACTTGCATGAGCTCGACTTGGCTTTTCCTCTGTCCAATTATAGCTGTGCATTCACATTGCTGCCTGGCTGGCTGCATGGCTCGCAGTCTAGCTTCGGAAGCGCTGTCACGAAGCGACGATCGACGTGGTCGATGTCAGGGACCACGCCATTCGAGCACGAGATGCGCTTCGGGTCAAAGCGGCACACCCATATACACGCGCGCGGGGGCTGCTGGATGTTTGCAGCGATAGAGCACATCAGACGCCCATGTCGGCAGAATTGACGCGCATGCACATGCACGCGCGCGACGTCGCTTTATTTCCTTTTCATGCACGCCCACGACGCCCGCGCTAGGGGCATTTGCATGCGCATGGGCGCGCTGAAACTCATGACTCTCAGGACTGTGACTGATGCAGCTAGGTTATTGCTGCATGATCTGTACTCGTGACTCACGACGCACGAAAGCTCTGCGCTATAGCTCTAAGTACAGCTGCTGCTGACGCGCTGTTCGCGGCTGCTCTTCTGCTGCATGATGTAGGGCCCGCTCACTTCGCCGAAAAGGCCGTGCGCGCGCGCGGGCGTCGAGAAGCTAGGAAGGAGCGCGATCAGGCGGCTCGTGGATTACCGCTGCATTCGTGTGACACATTCACAAGAGTGATTCAGCCTAACCGCGCCTAACCCTATACTCTCACCGATGCATGCGAATGTGACACACCGCTCCTCACGTCCCGCTGCGCATCGACCACGTTACTCTGCCTCGCTCAGGGCATCTCGTGTTGAGCCGCGCACTCGCACTCGCGCTCGGACTGCTCCGTTCATGTCTCTTCTAACATAGACGCACACTGCGCCGACGTACAATCGTGAGCTCTCGGATTGCTGCATCAACCTCTGAACCACCCCTTTAGCTCATCAATCCTTCTCATCCACGCTCCATTCCTCCTTCTCAGCCATCATCTCCATAAAGACGACAAATCAATCACCAAGACTAACAAACGCTTTCACACGGCGCGCACAAGACGCAAGAGGTACTCGCAGCGCAAAAGAATCGAGAGAGGAACCAGAGAAGAGAAAAGAATGTCATCCGTACTACTCAAAGCTCCCGCTTACCATGCCGAGCTGTGGCAATTCCTGGCCGCCCACGAGGATGTGGCGAGTCGAATCACCTCGCTGGAGATCAAGCGCGTGAACAAGCTGTACCACTCGCCCGCGCCAGCTTCCACTTGCGACGCAGCGCTGGGCAACGAGGTAATCGCGCTGCTCAAGAATTTCGACGAATCCTCGCTCGCACCTCCAGATGGCGGTGTGGATGAGGAGGAGAAGGAGGCGAGCGATGCTCGTTCGAAACGCGTGCGCGCGTATCGCGAAGCCGAGCTGCCCCTCATTGCCGCCATCTCCAAGATGAAGAATTTGCAAACATTCATATGGGACTTTTTCCCACCCGTATACGACGCGCAGCTTGGTAGGCCTGCTCGGCAGGCGCCGCTGTCCAGCATCTGGCAGGCGCTTGCACAGACTACAGTCAAGGACGTTGTGGTGGTAGATCTGGCGCGATACAGGCGATTAGAGTGCGCCGATACACAAGCCTTCGACCACATCCTGCCAATCTTTGAGGGAGATGTGAGTGGGTGGGATGTGATGTGACAAGGGGGGCGCACATTGCCCGAGATTTTGACGACCTGCTGACTATTGCTGCACGTCGAATGCATTCTTGTGCAGCTCTTTGCTCAGAAGCTTGACAAGCTGGAAAGCTTCGAGATATCGACGGATGCCTTCAACTTTGAGCCCGAACCTTTTGTCGACATTCCTGATCAGCCAGACTTGACCAGGCTAGCTGCCTTCTTGTCGCAGAACGCCTCGAAGCTCAAGGTGAGAAGCGGGACAGCTCATCTGTTGCCGCTTGCTCTTGCATTGTACTGACATTGGAGTCGCATGCGTGTCACACGAAGAGCGTGGCGCTACTCTTCCAGACGGACGGCGCGCGTCGACCAGCGCACCTGTCCGAGACGTATGCCAGCGAACTCCCACGAGAAGAGATGCAAGTGGGCGAAGTGAAAGTCGATGAGCTGCTCGAATCCTTGTCCGGAAAGCTTCCGGCGCTGCAAGAACTCGTTGTGCGAGATGTCAGCGCGTCGGAACAAAGCGTCGAGGCGTTCGTGCAGAGCACGCCAACTCTCCAGAAGCTCGAGCAAGTACCTTCTCTGGGCGTTCAGTATGGGCCAAAGCAGGGAGTGCGCCTCTCGACTGCTGTCAAGCAGACGTTGCAGCGACAGGCCAAGTGATGCACGACAATCACGAATGTGAGCTGCAGGGGGGCATGGACAGCGCGTTCGATCGAATGCGTTTTAGTGCAGACTTTTGCGCAGAGACGCTCGTGCGCTCGCTCGCCTCACGCTCCCACTCATCGACACGATCGCGTTGCTAAAGAAAGCTTCGAAATACGAGCTCATTTGTATCAGCGTCCATCAGCTCTTGCAGAAAGCCCGGGCAAGTTTCCAGCCACAATTTTTGCTCAAGTGGGCAATCAATCACGAATCAGCAATTTGAATTTGAATCGAATCACAAGCGCGCGTTTTCACGTGGACAATCTTTCTCGCGTTTCTTTTTTTTGGCTTAAATCCGCACTCTTGACTGTAGATCGCGCGGTGAATCTGTTACGTCCGGCCGAATCCGCTTAAACCGACTTGAACGCCGTGGCTGCGCCTCGATCGGCACGATCGGCATCAGCAAGCACGTGCTGCCGGTGCCGCATTCGTGCGGCGTTTCTGCCGCGTTCGTTGCTTCGGACTAACCGCGCGCGCCTTTTCATGACTCGCCCCCCCTCTGTTCTCCGCTCGCGATTGCACGCGTGTCGGTTTTGGGGGTCACGAGTCGAGAGTGCAGCAGGAGGGGTGATACGTGACCCATCGGGGGTAAAGGTCGAGCGCGGTTCTTTGGAAGGTTTGCAGCGGGGCCGGGGGGCCGCTTTCTTTCCACACTTTGTGACTCGTACCTCATCGTAGCCTTTTTTTTCCCACTCGATCACGAATCTCTCTCCCTTTGCCATCCTTTCTTGCGTCCGGCCTTATCCCCCTCGCGGATGATGTGACATTGCGCTGCTCCGCGACGCGACGCGACTCCACTATAAAGTGCTCTGCGCAGTGATCGCTCCCCGCCACTCGCGACTACGAGACATCCTCCTCATCCTTCCCCTCGACATTGCCGACTGCACGACCGCACAACCATGTCATCGGTACGCTCGCAGTCGCTCAGTAGAAGCGCGAGTAGCAGTCCAAACTGCACCGACTTGGGCAGCTCCCAAGAACATGCAGAAATGACGCAGAGGCTGGCAAACGCAATCGACAAGGAATATGCGGGCTGCGATGGTGATGGTAGCGTGCCCAGCAGCTGCAAAGAAGCGTCAGCGTCAGCAGCAGCAGCAGCAGCAGCAGCAGAAGCAGAAGCAGAAGCTCAGCCTGATGCTCTGGAACGATGCATCAGCACGCACACCACGCGCACGCTAGGTCCGCCACCTGACGGAGGCCTTTTAGCATGGACACAAGTCGTCGGTGCATTCTTTTTGTTTGTCAACTCGTGGGGCATTGCCAACACGTACGGCGTCTATCAGACGTACTACGAACAGACGCTATTCAGCGACCATTCTTCCGAACAGATCGCATGGATCGGTAGCTTGCAAAGCTTTCTGCTGCTCATCGTCTCTGCTCTTGCAGGTCCACTCTTCGACAAGGGGTGAGTCGTGCTGCTCTCTTTCTATGGCCGCGCACCTGCTCATCCCCAACTCCCGCGCACACGCCGCCGCCCCCACAGCTACTTTCGCTCCCTCGTCACACTCGGCTCTCTGCTCGTCGTCTTCGGCATGATGATGACCAGCCTGTGCACTGCGTACTGGCAGGCCATCCTAGCACAAGGTTTGGTCGTCGGTGTAGGAGCGGGCTGCTTGTTCGTTCCAGCAGTCAGCATCGTAGCCACCTACTTTGACAAGAAGAGGGCTCTCGCTGTAGGCATCGTCACGGCCGGATCGTCCATCGGCGGCGTCGTCTATCCCATCATCTTTATTCGATTGGTCGACAAGCTGGGTTTCGCTTGGACAACGCGCATCATCGCTTTCATCGCGCTCGCTACGCTCATCGTGCCTGGCGCCGGCATGAAACCGAGAATCAGAGCGGCAAAAGCTCGACCTTTGCTGTTGCCGCGCGCCTTTCTCGAAGTGCCTTACTCTACCTTTACCCTTGGCCTCTTTACCGGATTCATGGCCTTGTGAGTTGGTGCAGCGGTCGGCGACTTGCGCACGACGTTGAGGCCAGCAAGCATCCTCACCTCTTCTTCTTTTCGCCCTCCCTTCCACCCCCCCTAACTCCCCCTTTCAGGTACATTCCATTCTTCTTCATCACACCCTACGCACGCGCTCAGACGGGCGCCAACGCCACTCTGGCAACCTACATGCTACCCATTCTCAATGGCGCATCCACATTTGGACGCGTGCTGGGCGGCTCGGTAGCTGGCCGAATCGGTCCTCTCAATACGCTCATTCCTTGCACTCTAGCAGCAGCAATACTGGCATTCGCATGGATCGGCATTCACAACGTACCAGGCATCATCGTCTTTTCCGTACTGTATGGCTTCTTCTCCGGCACTTTTGTCAGCTTGCCCCCTTCCACCATGGCTGCGCTCAGCCCCGACTTGTCACAGATCGGAACGAGGATGGGACAGAGCTTCTTTGTTGCTGGGTTGGGTGTGCTGATCGGCACACCGGTAGCGGGTGTGCTCATCAAGGTGGGTGGGTGGGCGGCAGCGCAACGCCAAGCTTGACCCGCATTGCTGACGCTTCTCGTTTGCAGGGCGACGACTTTGTCCGCACACAGATCTTCTGCGGAGCACTCATTGCCGTTTCAGTTGTCTTGATGGTCACTGCTCGAGTGGCCAGGACAGGACCCGTATTGCTCGCCACATCATGACATCCAATTCGACGATGCACCCCCGACTTGCACGCGCATGAAGCGGCAATTAGTGAAGCAGCGCCGCGTGTCCAAACACCGAAAGTGGGTCAGCTGTTCAAAGTGATCAATCACGCCTCGGCGTCCATGCGCGCCGCGCGGCCTCAGAACTTGCCCGCTGGCGGTCTGACCAGTGGAAATACGGTCGGCGCAGAGTAGCTCTTTGTGTACCGAGAAGACGTTTTCTTGGTCCCTGGCGCCGGTCTCCAGAAGGAGGGATATTGCGACACTTGATCCATCCTCTGCGATTTGTTCAGCGCGTCGAAATCGCCCCTCGTCCGCTTTGTGGACGAGTATTGTGGTATGGTGGATTTGAAAGGAGTCCTCGGCTTAAAGTAGTCGACGAGCTGGGCGGGGGAGGGGGGTCATAAAGAGGGTTCAGTTGCACGCCGTGGTCTAGCAAGATGTAGCCAACAAACGCACCTTGCTAAAGACACTTCGAGCGACCAGCGCCGAGTCTCTTGGTGGCGAATTAGAGTCCTGCCTTGGCAGTGGATGTGCGCAGGCGAGGCCTAGCAAGAAGATGAGCAATGCGGCAGCGAGGCGCGTCATTGCTGGGAAAATGCAGGGGAATGGCACGGCTAAAGAGAGCGAGGCCGGGTGGTGAGGATGGCTTTTTGTTCCGAGGGAGGAGAGACAAGCAGCGGACCGATGCGCAATAGAATTTAAGTGTTTCTCTGAGATGCTTGTGCGCCAGGCTGACGACGTCGAACAAAGTCGAACAACGCTTCGCAGCAGCATCAAAGCTCGAGCGACAAAAAGCAGCAGTACCAAAGCTCTCCCGAGGCAGCACTAGAGGAAAGACTCGGGAGTCTGCGGCCGACACCGTACGTCCCACGTTGAGAGGCTATGCGGTCGGAAGTGGGTCCTTCGAGGGAGGAGCCACCGCAACGCGATTGCCTCTTTTCACCACGCCTGCGGCGGCGTCGGCGCGCGGCAGCGGGACGGCCCGCGTGGCGCCGCTTTGCGCCACCTTTCTGCTTGTGCATCCATCTACCGGGTGCCGGTATGTTGACAGCACGGTCAAAGGCGCCGACTTTCCCGCGACCGGCAAGGCGCAATCGCGAAGCACACCACCTTTGCGCAAACCTTCAGGCTGGAGGCGCGTACTTGAGATCAGGTCTCAGCAGATGGTGGTTGGCCTGCCAGCGACGGTCGGGTCGAGGTAGAGTGTCGTGCTGGGTCAGAGGAGCGCGGTCCACGCCTCTACACTTCCACATTGCCCATCGATCGATCCTTACACCAGCGCCCTCGGAAGCTTCGACGAATCCTTCATGTCTTTTCACACCCACACACACCATCTGACGTTCCAGCTGGTCTGGACAGTCCCCTCGTCGCCTCTACACGCAGACGTTCAGCTATGCGCAGCCTGTTTCTCATCTCGGCTCTTCTCTTGATATCATGCGCATGCTCGCAGGTTTGGGCCCGAACAGCCCTCTTGCCTCACCGCAGCCACGCTAACAATGCTACGATCCAACGTCGAGGCGTCTTCGAAAAGGTGCGCCCTCACGCTGTTGCCCCGTGTTGGCGCTACATGACGAAGTACACCAGACAGAAATTGTTGACGCCCCCCGCTCTGATCGTTTTCAGATTGTAAGCAGACTGCGGCCAATCTTGTCGGGTCGCACCAGCAAGGCGAACCCGACGCAAATGGCACGCACAAGTCAACTTGCAGTCTCGCAGGTCGCAGAGGTTCGTTGTTGCGAGAATGTGAAAGCCGAACAGCATGACCGCTCATCCTCCGACGCTGTACTTTGATCCAGGCCGCATTCCCTAGTCCTCGCATACAACATGCTTTGCACGATGCAGCGCGACTCGAACGCAACACTGTGCCCATGACGACACAGCCATACCGAGTCGTGGGAGAGGACGGCAAGCCAATGCTGCGTCTGGGCCGTGTGAGTATACGTGGACATGGCTTCTCATGAGCGCAATCACCCAACGTTGTCTGATCATCCTTACAGGAGATCTGGGGAGTGCGACGAGTGCAGCTAGGCCCCAACACACGCATCCCCTACGTATCACATCCTCAGTACCAGGAGGTGCTCGACAAGATCCAGTCAGAAACCAAACAATTGTTGAGAGAGAGCGATCGTCTGGCCTACAAGGGTCCGCAACCGAGAGCCCGTGCATAAGAGATGGCCAGCATCTCGGCCAAGGGGCGACAGCTGAATGGCCTGATTGCCGACAAGGAACAGGTTTGCTCGTACGCGTAGCTTTATCGAGGTAGTCTGTGTTGTTGATCACGTTTGGCGCGCGCGGAGCGCACAATATCATCGCAGATGTACTTGGCTTTAGCCTACGCCTAAACATCACCATCGTGAATGATATCTGTCAGTCTGCACGCTATCAAATTGCCACTTTGCGTGCTTCTAGTGTTTCATTCGAACGCTCTTCTCATGTCCCAGCGCAAAGTTGACATCGACAACACTCATCTCGACGGCCGCAGCAAAGACGTTACACAAAAAGGGATCTCAATTTTCGTGTGCATGGGTTGGGAGCTCTCAAGCGCTGAGGGCAGCTGGGGGTCTCAGGGAGGTGAATGTTGTCTCCGGGACCATATTCAGTGCTGAAGCTCATGCAGGAAGCCGCTTGCTTGCGGCTCTGCAGCACTCTTCCTACGCTCAAAGAAGGTATTAGCCCAATAGCTTGTGATCCGTCATTGGCTGATGGATATGCATCCATCAGCGCTTAAACCCCTTGCTGCCGGGGAGGGGATCTTTGGTATCGAGCATTTGCACAAGCTCCTCAAAGTGCGAAGCAAGTGGGGGGAACTCCTTCTTGAGAGGAGGAGACCTCAGCTTTTGGGGTCCCCTGCTTTGGCACAAGGCACTTGAGGCATTTGTGCTCACATGAGCCTCCTTCCTCCGCTTTGGATTGGCCCCCTTTGCTGCCTGCCTGCGCTGTTCTCCGTACGCATGAAGACTAAATCCAGCCTTTTGCTGATTGACAGCACAAGGACTAGTGCCTCCAGCGCTCTGCGCAACCTTGGCACCTTGCTGCAAGTCCAGGAACCAGGCCTTTGCTTTCTCATTGTTGTATCCCTTGGGCCTAGGAAGACAATCATGATCATCTGCCCACTGCTTCTTGCGCTTCTTGCTCTGAGGCAACCCAATGACAGTGCAGAATGCACTTTAAAGGGCTGCTCTTGGCGTCTTTTGCCATAGCATGAAAGGCTTGCAGATGCCCCAGACTGTTGAATCAAGACCAGATTCCTTGGCCCACCTGAATGGTCCGACTTCTGAATCGTCTCAATTCTGTCGCTGAAGGCCGAGACTACAGTGCAAACCTCCGTAGCTTGAATGTGCAGTCCTTGGGAGCCGCACGGTAAAGACTGGGTGGATAGTGGTCTGGATGACAACCGCCTCTTTCCTTTGTACAAGCGCAGAGAGTTCAAGAAGCCAACACTGCCTGCGTCCACTCAACACCCAGTTGTTCGCCAGGCTTGTGCGAAGCTCAGAAAAAGAAAACAATCGGGACAGGTTGGAAATCTCGTCGAGCACCTTGCGGTCAATTACAGCCTCAAGCCCTGGCCGTTTGCTGTCCGGCAAGGGACCTTTTAACAGTGATGCCGATGCGGGAACGGGCCTTCGAGCCTGTCATCGAGACTCGCTCAGTTCCATCATGCGCAAAAGGCAAAGCATCGACACTCTGCTCAGCAAGGACATAAGCTTGGTTCATGGTCGGCGGCATCTTTGAGTGCCTTCATGCTCGTGCCCACCGCACCATGCTTAGCAAGCACCTCTTCAATAGGACATATGAAAAACCTGCGACCACGGCACGACTCTCTGCGCGAATGAAAGCTGGTTCGCTCCGCGAGGTGGCTGTGAAATCGAAGTAAGAGGCGCGGCAAGTGCTGCAGCGAACCCCCGCGTTGGGTCTGGGCAGCAGCTCGCGATCACAGACCCTTTTGCTTGTACATGCCGCCCCTACCCACAGATCGGAGCCTAATTTGGCTCACCAGCGCCGCGCCGCGCCTCGCCTCAAACAAGCTCGAGCATCCTCTTACTCTGCATCCAACATTCAACATTGCGCGCTTCCCGGGGACCAAGGTGGGCGCTAGAAATACAAGCTTCCAGCAAAGATGACGTCTCTGCGAATCAAGTTTTGCGCTTCCTCCATCTTTGCAAACAAGTCGAAATCTCCAATGACGCGCGCCGCGTCCCTGACCTCTCTGCACGTCTCGTCCAGTCGCGTGATGCAACGCACAATGGTGCCCTCTGCTACGTCTGTCAAGTCGGTGATTTGGGAAAAAGGCTGGCCAGGAAAAAGTCAAGCGTGGGGATTAGCGCGAGCGCTCGCGAGCGCGATGGGCTCAAGCGCTCCACTCACCATGCCCTTTGCCCACTCGTAGACGACCTCGACGAGCCCGAGCTTGAGATCAGTCTCGTAGTCGATGTTGTTCAGTTGATGCTGCGTCTGCACCGCGCTGACCCGTTCCGAGATGCGAAGAATGTTTGCAAAAGCCTGGATCAAGCCGAGGAGACGGAGAGGCTACCCGCTCAGCGAACGAAGTTCGGGTGCGATGCTGTAGCGTGACGCAGCAGTTTTTTTGCCCTTTCACTCCAACTCACCTCTGCAAGCGCCTCTGGCAGCTCGGTTGCCACGTCGGTCTTTTCTTGAAAGACGAAGACAGACAGTAGAGCTACGCATTCTTCGGGCTTGAGCAGGGTAAAGAAGCCATCGAGGATGAGTTCCGTGAGGAGCAGTTCGTCTGCACTGTTGATTTCGCACGCCACGCGACCTTTGAGCAGCACAGCTTCGCTGACGGGATCGACGAAGCGCAGAGCTTTGAGCACACCTATGCGAGCTTCGTAGTCAGGCAGCAGGTCGAGGTTCTGATCAGAGATGGAATGCTGAAGCTTGGCGATGCGCGCCATCAGCGTCTTGCGCGTGTGCATCGTGGCATACTGGGGGCAAAAGAGATCGTCAGTTTCTCCGCGTGAGCGCTGCGCGAGCGAATGATTCGTCGCCACGCACCTCGGATGCGAAGTGCTCCTCCTCCACCACAGCACGATGCTGAGACAGTCTCGCTGCATAGCCGTCGCGCGATCGAAGCGCTTCCTGGAATTCCAATCTGCGGATGCGAGACCAGTCCACTTCCGGCGCGCTTTCTTCCCTGCTCATTTCGGCAGCAAGCGGCGCGATCATGTCGACAGTGCGCTGCATGGCAGAGATCCTATGTGCGAGGATCATGCTTCCTTCGATCTGCAAAAGTGCGCCAATGTCAGCGAAAGCGAGGGCAGGAGGCGTCGCGAAAGCGATCGGGTTCGCTTGCGCTGGCGCACCTTGAGAGCATGCGGCGTGACCAGCGCAATGGAGCCCAGCGACACCTCGCGCAAATCGTAGACGACGTTTTCCGATGGGACTGCGCAGCGAGGGGGCCAGCGTGGTGGTGGTCCATGCTCGCCTGGCGCGTCTGCAGCGAGCAGAAGTGTTGGCAATGCATCAGCGTGCGCGCGCGCGCGCGCGTGCTTGCGTGCTTGCTTGCTTGCTTGCGGGCCCGCGTCGGCACTCACCAAAGTCGCCATTCTTGCGAGCCGGCGCGACTGCAGCGAGCACCAAGAATAATGCCGGACCGAGAGTCTTGACGAGGACAGCAGCGTCCCAGTCAAAATGCACGTCGCGGAGCAATATGACCCTACCAGGAGCCAGCATCTTGTTGCCCTGTTGGTGAGCCAGGGCAACCTCCAGCATGGCCTCGTTCGAAGACACGCTGTTCTGACAGAGGTCGTAAAATGTGCTCAGAACATCGTGCCTCTCGGGGGCGACGGACGGTATGCGCGCGAGTTGCCTCTCGACCTGCAAGTCGGTGCGTGCTGGGTCAGCAGCGTGACGCGTAGTTGCGCCCGCCATCTCTTTCCCTCTTCTCCAGGCGCCCACTCACCGCCTTGACTTTTTTCTGTTGATCCGGCAACAGTCGCTGGCTAGCGTTCTCGGAAAATGACCGCTTGATCATCTCTTCCACTTTGAGCGCCTCGACGCGCAAAAGATTCAAGATCATATTGTACGTCAGTCTGAATTGGCTTGTCAGTTTCGTCGGCTGACCCAGCAGCATCTTGTTGAGGATTCCAGTCTGTCGAGAAGGAGGAGAGCGTGGCAGCGTGAGGCGCTCTTTCCATGCATCTCGATCGTCGTGCCACGCGCAGCTCACCTCTGGGATATCGTCAGCGGCATTGATGATCACCACACCCGTAGCGTCTAGACCACGTCGACCAGCACGACCGGACATTTGCGTATACTCTCCCGCCAACAATTCTCGAAATTCGTGCCCATCGTGTTTGCGAATGCCGGAAAAGACGACGCATCGAGCGGGCATGTTGACGCCCTGGGCGTGGGCGTGGGCGTAGGTGAGCGAGCAAGCATCGAGAGGGTGCATCGCACGCGCGACCCACCATGGCAAAGGTTTCTGTAGCGAACAACACCTTGACCAGTCCGCGTTGAAATAGCAGCTCGACGACCTGCGAGAGTGGGAGAGAGCGGTACGATACGATGAGCGCACGTGATCGGCATGTTGCGCGCCGTCGCTGTGGCCGCCGCCGTCGCCGTCGCCGTCACCGTCACCATCGCCGTAGCCGCCGCCGCCGCCTCTGCAGCTGCTGCTCACCTCCTTGACGATGGGCAGCAGACCTCCGTGGTGCACACCGACACCTCTGCTCAGCAGGTCTCGCATGCGCGCAATCTGCGGTAGCTGCTTGTCCGTACCTGGCGCGCGGAGGGCGGAGGGCAGAGCGTGTGAGGGCGGAAGGGTCGCGCGCGCGATCGAGGCCCAATCCTTTGAGCACTTTTTCGCGCCGCTGGCAACTCGACTCACCCTTCAATCTGGTCAAGCTCTTCTCGATGAGCACATGCACTTCGCTCTTTTCCTTTGCATTGCACAGATCCGTATTCGGCAAGCTGCTAGCATACTCTTCGCAGCGCCGCTTCGAAAAGACGAAAGCGACGACGGGAAGCAGATCCTTCTTCTTGAGCATGCCGATGAGGTGCACCCACAAATTCTTGTCTCCTGCACCGTGAGACTTGTTGGAGCCCGCGCCTGCGCCCGCTCCACCTCGACCCCTCATGACTGGCGCTCCAGATGCGCGACCACGCTGCGGAGCTCCTCTGCCTCGCGTTGGCGCGCCACCACCACCACCACCGCCGCCGCCGCCACCGCCACGACCGCGCGACACGGGTGGCAGACCAGCAGCTTCCCTCTCCTTGTCTTGCCGCCTGCGTATCGCTTCCGACGCTTCCTTGATGCCGCTGCCCAAGAATTGTCCGCGCGCATCCACAATCTTGTGCAGCTCTCTGCCCGCGTACAAGAAGTGCTCCAACGGTACGGGCCTCTTTGGAGTGCTGATGACGTAAATGTCCTTCTTTTTCGTTCGACCTACCCAATCGGCGAATTCTGTTTTGAAGCGCGCGCGCGCGCAAACCCACGTTCAGCCTGACGCTCCCATCTCATCTCGCGCCGCCGCCGCACGCGTGTGCGCGCGCGCACGCAGACTCACCTTTGGTGTTGGGGACGGTGGCGGAGAGGAGGATGAGGTTGATGTGTTGAGGACAGAGAATGATGACCTCCTCCCACACCACGCCTCGCTCCTGATCATTGACGTAGTGCACCTCATCAAAGACGACGAACTCGACGTCTCGAATCAGATCAGCGCCCCTGTACAGCATGCTCCTGAGGATTTCCGTCGTCATGATGAGGCAAGGAGCTTCTGGATTGATCTGCACATCGCCAGTCAGGATGCCGACATTTTGAGATCCAAACGTCTGCTTGAAATCGCGATACTTTTGATTGGACAGGGCCTTGATGGGTGAAGTGTAGATGCAGCTGTGTGCGCGGGTGTGTGTGTAAGCGCGTGCGAGTAAAGAGTCTGCCGTCTGCGTCTGCAAAGATTGCACCATCACCACCACGAAAAGGCGCGCGCAACCTACCGGGTCATGTGCTTCATGGCCAGAGCCACGGCGTACTCTGCCACTACCGTCTTGCCTGCGCTTGTGTGAGCAGCGACAAAGACGCTATCGCGCTGCTCGAGGTGGTACACGGCTTCCTTTTGGAACGCGTCCAGCTCGAACGGATACTATCAGACACAGAGAGAGAGAGGAATGGTGAGGCACGTGATCAGCGTGTGTGCGCGCTGATTGTCAAGCAACCCTTGCCTCGCCTCGCCTCGCCTCGCCGTCCCTGGCTTCACCTTTTGAGCCATGTCTGGCACGAGCTTGTGAAAGTCTGGCATGCCCTTGGACGGATCCACGACGTGCGCCCAATCTCGTTTGATGTCCATGCCTGCTCGTCCATGGGCTCTGCTTGCGATGCCGATGCCGGTGGTGGGGGGTGCGGCAGGCAGCAAATCGTCGAGAATGAGTTGCTGTTCCGCATGCTTTGTTGTCTGCGAGGGCATAGAGTCGGATGGGATCGATGCTGCGGGTGCGGGTGCGGCGACTCGATAGTAGGGCGTGTAAGGCTGCACGTTGCTGGTAAGGATTTGCAGGTGCTGCTGCTGTTGCTGCTGCTGTAGAGGCACATCGATGCGGGAAGCGTGCACAGACTGCTGCGCTGCTGCTAAAAGCTCTGCTCTCTCTTGGGCTGCTTCCTGGGAGAAGCGAGCGCGCTGATCTGCTGTCATGAAGCCCCTCTGAAAGCCTGGTGGGATGGTGCGAAGCGCTGGCGAGGGTGAGGCGAGGTAAGGCGACGCAGAAGAGTGAATGTGAATGTTACGAACGCTGTGCGAGGCCTTGCACTCCATCCGAGCGCGACTTCGATTGCGACTCACCATTGCCCGTCTCAGCCTCCGTATCCGCACCCGCACCCGCACCCGCACCCGCACCCGCACCCGCACCCGCACCCGCACCGCCGCGCCCACCTGCCTGCTCATCATCGATGACCTCATCCAATCCTCCCGGTCTGAACATCGAGCTGCCCACCTTGCCCCTCACAAACGCGTTCTGACTTTGACGCTCCTTTGCATCTCTTGCCATCAGCGCTACCTTGACCTCTTGCGTGCCCACGATCCGTCCATCCAATCCGGCTCGCACGAACCTCAAGGTGGTGCGCGATGAGGATGAGGAGGATGGTTGGTGTTGCAACAGACTGACGAGATTGGGTGGGCGATCCCAATGAAGTGAAGCAGGGGAGGATGATGGTGAAGATGATGATGAAGAAGAGGAAGCGAGGGAAGATCGGATGCTCAATTGAGGATCCAAGAAGCGTTGGTGAAGGATGTGGCGGATGTGTTGGGCGGTGTAGATGGGATCACCAGGCAGCGGAAGGTCCAAAGAAGGATATGCAGCCTCCTTGCACGTTCCACCATGACTGGCTCGACGAAGCAGCGCTGGAGAAGCGTCGCTGAGGAGCGCATCGCTGCTGCTGCTTGTGAAGGTGTGCGAGGATGCCATCTTGATTGGCTCGTGATTGATTGGTGGCACCTTTCACCTTCACGTTCGAGCTTGCGTTGGCGTGCGTGCGTGCGTGCGTGCGTGCGTGCGTGCGTGCGTGCGTGCGTCTATACGTCTGCGCCGTCAGCAAGCGGTGATGTGCCTCGGGATGCGTTTGACGTGACGAGGGCACCTTCGACGCCGAATCGTGAGCCGTGGTGTGAGGATCATGATGGCCATCGCGAGTCGCGAGTGGAGAGGTAAAGCTTTCTGTTCGCATTCGCAGCGGTGCGGTGCGTGCGTCGATGGATGGATGGATGGCCTTGCACATGCGTAAAGAAGATGCATGTGCAGATGCCCGCGTGACTCGTGATCATCCACCATCCACCATTCACATTCACGATTTGGCTTGCCTTGCTTGCATGCATGCGCTCATCACGCGTGCAGGCGCGCAGGCATGCGTTACCGGTACACACAGCAGCAGCAGCTATGCAGGCCGGGGTCCTGATCTGATGCGCCCGAGTCGTCCCAACACGTGATGTCATTCATGATACCGGCGCGGAGGTGCATGAATTTGATGTTTGGATCCCGCGCACGGTGCGGTGCGGTGCGGTGCGGTGCGGTGCGGTGCGGTGCGAAAGTCATTCATTCCCTCTCCTCACGCGCTCATCCATACTCGCGCTCACCATCGCAAGCGCACGTTATCGAAATCTATCCGCTCATACACAAGCTCCAAAGGCAAGAAGGGGAGGGGGAAAAGAGATGAACAAGCTTCGCGCACCCTCGCACTCGCACTGCTCAAGACACGCGATAACAGCATCCTTTGGCCAGCAGCAGCAGCACACGAATCGTCAGAGCACCATGACTTCTCGCGCGAGCGGCAGCACGCTCGGCACTAGCCAAGCAGGCGATCCTACACGCTCAGCATCTCCAGCCAGCATGAGCATCAGCAACGGCAACAGCACTCGCGCCAGCAACAGCAACAGCACTCGCGCCTCCGAAGCGGCACACGTAGGCACCGATCAAGCAGCAGGTATGCGCCCCAGCCTCAGCCCCAGCACTTCTCGAACAGGTCTGCACATTCGAGCCAAAACTTCCGAAGCTCTCGCTCTGGGTCGTCATCGCGATTGGGCGGAGCTGAAGCAGGGCGCCAAGAGCAAAGCCAGATCGGCTGCTCAGGGAATCGCTAGCAGAACCGCTCCCCTTCGATCCTCTAGCGCTCTCCTCTCCCCCGCGCTCGCGCCCGCGCCCGCGCCCGCTCCCGCTCCTCACGCGTCCGCCGCCCTCGCCGCCTCATCCCGATCCTACTCTTCGCTCTCCAGCAGCAGCACCGCCACCACCACCGCCACCGCCAATCGCCCTGCACTACCTCGAGCAGGTCACGTCGAGCCCGTACTGCTACCTACCTACGCTCAACTTTTGCCTGCTCGAGATCGCGAACCTCAGACTTGGTCATCCAGGGATGATGCCCCCACCGAAGATCTGGACGATGGAGAAGTGGAGATTTTTCTGCGCATCAAGGGTTTCGTGGAGAGGTGGCCTGAGAGCAGGGGTACGGCGCAGCGAGTGTGGGAAAGGGCGGGCAGGCAGGTCAGTCAGTAGTGTATCGCGCGCGTCCGCAGCGGGAGGCTTGCAACCCAATCGCGCATCGCTGACTGTGACTGCTGTCCCCACTCATGGCGCGCTGGCTGTGACTGCTGTCCCCACTCGCGGCGCGCTCACGCAGCTGGCAGGACTGCCTCGTCTGCCTCCTCGCGCATCCGCCTCCAGCCATGCCGACTCGTCAGCCTCGCTCTTATCGCTCAACTCCACCGATGTGGATGATGCGGCATTTTGGCCCGAAGTTCCAGATGGCATCTCTTCCGATACTTCAGGCCAGAGGATCGGCAGCACATCGGAAGATCGGCTTCCTGAAAAGTTGGCAGATACGGTGCTAGAAGGTGCGGGCGATGCGGCGTTGGAACGCATCTTGGGCAGCGCGGGCGTCTTGCCCGTAGAGAGCGCACCTCATCAGCGCGATGTGCGAAATGCGCGGCGCTCGGAAATGGATGCGCCCGCGCAGGAGCGACCAGTGATTGCCAGATCCGCGTCTGGATCGGCCGTTCCGCTCGTAGGCGGCTCGAGCACGTGGTGGGGTCGCTCACTGCACGAGCTGCACGATCTGGCAGAGAATCTGGAATGGAGGCTGAGGGCCTTTTGGACGTACAAGGCGGCGGGCAGAGAGGTGCGCATCGAGGTGTTGCCTTGCTTTGCGGGAGATCGAGATGAAGCGACCATAGGAGCAGCAGCTGGTTGGCGCACGCACGAGAGGGATGCGCAGCACGAGGAGGGCAAATCGAGAGTGATCGCTGCTACGACGCTGGTGTCGGATGCGGCAGGCATGATCGACGATTCGCTCATCATTCCAAAGCACATGATTCAAGCCTACCTCCGCTCCGACTCGCGATCCAGCATCCAGCACAACGCTACTCCGGACGACATTTGCGCGCTCAAAGTGCGAGCGATACTCATGCCCCAGAAATCGCTCGCTCAAACGGTCTTGCCATCGTCGGAGCAGGGGCAGGGCGAGCCTGTCAAGGGATCTTGGCACACGCTGACTGTTCAGCCGATGAGAAGAGGTGTCAGAAGAGTTCGGCTGATCAGCGATGTGGACGATACCGTGAGTGTCTCGCGCGCGCGCGGCTATAAATCCGCAGACCCGCGACCCGCGCACACCCTGACGGTCTTGCACCACTTTACACGCGCGCGCGCGTCCGTGCAGGTGAGGCACACGCACGTTCTGGGAGGCACGCGGGCAGTGTTCAGAAACGTCTTTGTTAGGAATCATCAAGAGGTGCAGGTCGAGGGAGTGTCGCAGTGGTACGACGCCATGGTGCGCTTAGGCGTAGGCATCCATTACGTCTCCAACGCTCCCTGCGAGCTGCATGCCGTCGTTCGAGGTGAGCAGCGTCCGCATTGCTGACGTGCGCGCGCCTGGTCGCTCATCCGCATTCACATTGCTGACGTGCACGCGCTACCTCGTCGCTCTACGCTCGCCAGACTTTCTGGCCAACGCGGGACTGCCCAGCGGACAGTTGGCTCTGAAACACTATCCGGCCGTCACTACCAGCTCGCTCATCGCTTCGTGGCTGCAACCAGCAGCTGCGCGCAAGCGTGGCGCTCTGACCGGCATCATGACCGACTTTCCAGACGACGCCTTTATCCTCGTGTGAGTCGAGTGCATGTCCCGTCTTTTTGCGCTCATGAGAAGATCCTCGATTGACAAGACGCGAGCGCTGGGCCGGCCCCCCACTCTCAAGTGGCGATTCGGGCGAGATGGATCTGGACGTGTACACTGAGCTGGCCATTGCTCGTCCCAATCAAGTGGCGGCCATTCTCATTCGGGACGTATCGACTCCGACCTCTTCCAGTGTGCCGTCCAGCAAGTCCAACTCCAGTTTGGCCGAGGGCCGAGCACCCAAACGGAGCAACACGACACTAAGCACTGCCTCCGCCTCCACCTCTACCGCGTCGTCATCGTCGTCCGTATCAGCAGCAGCAGCAGCCTCCAGTTCGACCGAGCCGGACCCATCCACGCTTGCGTGGCACGCCAGACTTGTTCGAGCTAGTCAGGCCCTTCCGCCGAGCGTCGTGCTGCAGACTTGGAGGGAGGGCAGGGATGTGCAAAGTTTGTGCGAGTACCTCGTGCAGAGCCTGCAATCGAGCGACGGCCAGCGTGGCAGCTAGAGGAGAGGTACGCGCGCCGTTAAAGCCAGTAGCCACCTTCTCCTCCTTCCCTCTTGACTCGGGTGGCGAGGACGACAAATGCGATGCGCTGGAGGTCCAGATTTGTTGGCTGCTACAGCGCCAGAGCGCCACAGCGTTGCAAGCGCTTCCGGGTCTGCCCGGTTTTCATTCGCGCTGGCGATCGCCACCGTGAAAGCGCAATGCGCGAGGGAATGGCGTGCGTACTCGCGGGCCATCGTGAATGACAATCACACGAATGGCGATTGCGTGCTCGTGCGCGCCCGCGCCATCTCCACGCCAGCCGTCGCGCGTTGTCTGCGCAGGCGGCAGATGAAAGACCACATCCAGCTCGACTTCGTGGCGAGAGCAATACATTTATCCTTCCCTTGCGTTCGATATCTGGCCCTCTTGTACTCGCGTCCATCACCTTCTGCACATCACAACTCGCTCCTACAACCGGAGCAGGTCTTTGGCTTTCTGAGCAGCGCCCTCCTTTTGGGTTGTCTTTCACTTCTCTTTCTCGTTTTTTTTTTTTTTTCCAGGCCATTCTAAACGTTCCCTGCTGGTCAGGAATCGACTCGCGCTCGGACACGCCCCCTGCTGTTGCAAAAGAGATGAAGCAGAGGCCAATCCTGACCTGCTGGGCAGCAACGATCACGCTGAGCGCTTGCGCTTGCGCTTCAATTTTTGCAGCAGCAGCAGCAGCAGCAGCAGCAGCAGCGGCACAAACGCACCACCGTACTGCTCGGGATGTGCAGCATGCGTCGAGCGACGACGCTCTGTTTAGGCGCGCCCCGCTGAAGCCGCTCGGCCCGGCTGAGAAGGCTCTTGAGCTGGATGTTGCCCCGAGCGTGGTCGATCGGGTCGATGGCGGCGGTGCAGTTTCTGCTGCTGGCTCGAGCGTGGCCCACCGGGTCGATGGCGGCGGTGCAGTCCCTCCTACTGGATCGTCGAGCGGGCCCCTCGAGCTGCCTGACAGCTCGCATCGAAAAGCGAGACCACCCGTGAGTCGAAGCGCGCGAATGACGTGCCCGCCCATCGCAGACCCGCATGCCAACCGAGTTCGTCATCTCGCAGCCCGATCTCAACAAGAAATTGGGAAGAGCACAAAATTACAAGGGAACCTTTCCCGGCAAGTCCAAAGGTGCCGAATGGAGGCGCGAAAATACTGAACGCTACGAGCACTCCAAGCATCGACGTATCATCAAGCACGAAATGGGCCTGACGTCGTCTGGAAAGAGCAAACAGGATTGGCCACCTTGGGACGGCAGGAGCGCGCACCATCGCGCCTGGCTCGAGTCGCCTCAGGGCAAAGAGTATATACGCAGGGTCAATGAACGCATCGCAGCGGATCCAGCGACGCTCACGGATGTCGGCGGAGCCTCTCGCGGTCTTTCCTGGGGCACTTCGGCATCCGCAGTGCGGCGCAGGGAGAATCCCGAGCTGCACGCTGCTGCTCGAAGGAGACGCTTAGTTCGCATGTCCTTGGGTCTGCCCTCGCATACGAGCAGACAGCTGCCACTTCCAGACTGGGACGCTCGCAGCAGTGGGCACAAAGCGTGGCTCGAAAGCACGGTGGGACAATTGTATACGGAGCGCTTGCGGAACGAAGAGCGCATTGCAGCCGAGCATCCTCGACCAAAACGCGTGAGTAGGCGTGTCGGCGTCTTGTGCGATTGCGACCATTGCATTGACCTGGTCGTCTCGATGCAGCCTCCGGGCACTCCAGCGCCAAAGCGTCGACCAAAGCAGCTTGACGGTCAGGCAGCGCTACCTCAGCAGGCGCCCGGTGCGCAATCGTCGTCTGCGGCCGGTGGCGGTAGTGCAGCAGAGCCAGAAAGGCCACCCTCTGATCACGCAGACGAGACATCGCTATTGGTCGCTCGCACAAGGGTACCGGATGGCTCCATTTTCGGAGCGATAGAACAGGCCCCTCCCAGCGCATCCTCCGCTGCAGACGCGGATAAATTGCCTGCCACTGTCAAATTCTTGAGGATCCGTCCGCACGCCATGCACAGGCTCCTTGCCGCCGACACGCCAGGAGTTCGTCAAGGGTATGCCAATCAGGCTGGCGTTTCCAAGGAGACGCTTGGCAAAGCTCTCTCGCAGGCGTGGGACGAACACTCTGCTGCTCGCGCAAGCCGTGCTATCGACGTAGGCGAGGGCGACTCAAAGGCAGTCGCTTTCACACAGGCTCATGCCGAACGCTTGAAGAGTCTCTCGCCCGGCCAGAGGCGCAAGGTCGCAGCGCTTCAGTCGTACTTTGACTCGAATCAACGAGATATGCATCTGGCCATGTCGCATACGGACCATCGCGCAACGAAAAAGACGGCTAGGAAGCTCAAGGTGGACCCTGCTACTCTTGCTGATGCTCTCAATTTGCGACGTCCTCTTGTGCCAGTGGCCAAAACCAAAGGGCGGCCAAACTTGCCCGAGATGCGACACGTTGGCGAAGAAGAGGTTCGAACGAATCGCGAAGCCATCTTGCGGGCACTCCAGGATGGCGAACGTCTTGGCATGATGCCTCCCCCCAATCACAGTGGCCCGCAACGAGTAAGGAATAGCCGGACGTCGATTCACGATGATCGTATGCGGCTCTACCGAGCCTTGGGCGTCAAACCACCCCAAAAATTCGGGCCGACAAACACCAGACTCACTCCTGATGGCTGCAGAAGTACGCAGCTGCGTGATCTCAAGCGTGCCGCACGAGCCGATAACGGCAGCACAGAGTGCGCATCGATGATGAAGAAGCAGGCAGGCCAAGCTGCAACGAGCACCCGCACGACTGACCACACCAATCCCCTTTTGCCCCACTCTGAGAATTCCGAACATGTGAGCAGTTCTGCCAAGGGACTGAAACAGGATTTGAACCTCTTACCTGGTCAGGCGCTCGATGATCTTGAACGCCAAAGGTTGGCACCGCGTGGACTCGGCACCGCAGAGGAAGCGGCTGCATCTGCGTCGGCCAAGCATCTCGAAACCGCGCCGATCGAAGCTGTCGAGTCGAGCCCTGCCGCATCAGCAAGCGAAGTGGCATCCGGCACGAACAGCCGTGCCAAGAGACGACCAGTGAACATGGAGCCCCTGCCCGTCTTTAAAGGCGCGACCGGCTATGCCGAGCTGCTGCGTTGGAATAAGAGCTACACCAAGCAAGGCCTAGAAGTGCCGGCGCGCATAAGGCTGCCCAAGAACGCTCTGAGCAAGGGGCAGTACTACAGGTTGAGAATGAAAGGACTCAGCGACGAAGCCTTCATGGCCAAGTTGGAGGATCCGAAGCGCGCTGACATGGTAAAAACGGGAAGGTCCTACCGCAAAACGCCAATGGGCGTTCAGAGCACGCAGTGGCGGGACAAGAGGAGGGTCTTGGCCGTCAGCGGAGCGTCTCAGAATGTCAACAAACGCTTGCAGCCCGGTGAAGGCAGCATCGTGACGCAGAGGTTGGACAAGGAGTTGACGAATTTGTCTCGCAAGGGCCAAATTGCGCGCCTATTTGGAGAAGACCCTGCGGCCGCTTTGCCATCGTGGGTACCACGCTCTCATCTGAAGCGAGCGGGTCTGCTTCGTGGAGATCCTTCGCCGGGCGAATACTCGCGAGCCCCGGCTCGCGCTTTGACCAATCCTGCGGAGTCGGATCATTCGCACACCCTGGCCTCTTCGAGGGAGTCGTCACCAGCGACGCATGCAGCGCCCCAACGTCGCGCCGTAGCGTCTCGCCAGGACGATCAAGAAGTTGGACGCGCGATGCTCTATACTCGGGGCCTGTCCGAGCCTGGCTCTGCTGCCTGGAAAGAGACGGAGGACTCGCTGCGCAAGGCATCTTTCCCGTCGGCCAGCGACGCAAACCCATCGTTTGGCAAGTGGAACAAAAGCTATTCGCATGCAGCAGCTGTCAAAACTGAGCTGACGCTGGGCTTTCCGGAGCAAGGGTCTGTCTCGCCGCCGCGCGCTGCTGTGTCACCGCAGAACGTTAGCAAGCGCACTCGCGTGGATACCGATCTGAGTCTAGGCGGGTCTAGGGCTAAACGTCCAGCAGTCGACATAAACGAGCTTGTGACGCCACGCACGGCCCATCTCGATGCGTGGAGGCAGCGACGTGGGACGCACAAGTATGAGCGCTCAGGCCATGTGGATGGCGCACCGCTGTACACCTCGCTCCCGCCAAAAGCCGCGTATCGAGGTGCCGGATCGTATTCGGAGCTGCTCGATTGGAACAGGGCGTATGGGGAGCGGCGCCACGTCCCAGCAGAGATCAGGATTCATGACCGTGCTCCTGCCAAATCGACAGTCTGGCATTACCAGCAGCGAGGCTACACCGACGAACAGATCATGGGCTTGGTGGACAAGGGATTTTTCAACGGATCGCGGGGTGATGCGGTCCCGGCTCTGACCCACTCGGGCCGATACGACAATTACGCACGATACGCCGAAGCCACTCGACGCAAGCAGCAGAGAGAGAGGGGGCAGTCTGCTCAGGACAGCCAAAGACTTCGCCGCCTCGAGCGCCGTCACGCCACGCCCGCAGTCGAGCAAGCCGGAGATGATCCTGCTCACGGCCGCATCGCGCCAAATCAGCTTGTGCGCAGAGTCGCACACGGCGATGGAAATCGATTGATTGAAGACTTTTTGGCCGCTGCGATGGAGGGGCACGACGTCCGACTGCCACACGAGCTCGAAGATTTGCACGATAGTCCAGTCCGAGCAGCGAGCCCACGCGCCTGGAGCGCAACGCCTTCCAGTCAGACGCCCCGCAGTGGTGTTTCAGGCGGGCAAGCGCCGCACATGTCCGCTCCACATCCGCTGCATTCGGGTTCTGCTTCTCCTCAGAGTGCGGTCAGCAGCATACCTGCAAGCAGCAAAGCTACGTCTGCTTCCTCTCACATGCAGAACGACTCGATCTCACCTGCCCAGCAAACGACGTCCAGCGAGCCTCGAAAGCAGCGCAGGACGCGCAAAGGAGGCATTCGACCTCCTCTTGCCCTGTTCAAAGGCGCGAGGAGCTACGACGAGCTGTACCATTGGAACAAGGAGCATTGGATGCATGGCGACGAAGCGCCGGTGCATATTCGTTTGCCTCGGACAGCACCGACACCGTCTGCAGTATATTACCGAGCAGAGAAAAAGGGAATCCCGCACGAGACGCTTATGAAGGACATTGAGAGTGGCGAGTTGCGGGCCGGATCTTCGGGACGTCAACGCAAGACGCCCGAGGGGAACAAGAGCACGCGGTGGAAGGATCGTCAGGTTGCGAAGGCGAAGCTGGGACTCGTGCCTCGGCGAAGCACGTTTGCGCCCGGGCCGGAACGAAAGACGCCGAAAGGCTCGGGCAACACGGCAAGATTGGATAGGCAGGTGACGGAAGCGCTACAGCAAGCAGCACAAGGAACGGCCAAGCTGACGGACGTAGAGTGGGCCGCTATTACCCACGTCAATAGTGTGGGGAGGCCCAAGGTGGCAGGACAATCGCTGCCAGCGCATCCAACGGCCCATTCGCCTACCTCGACGCCGACGGAACATTGATCTCATAGCAGGGAGTTGTGTGCGCATCTCAACCGTCAGCACTTGTCTCAAAGCATGCATTGGGCCGCTGCTTGTCTTGTAGTCATGATGTAGCGTGCGATCTGGTTCACAAATAGATGCTGACCGAATGCAATCGAATCACGAGTGCTCAGTGCTCCTCTTGGAGTTGACGTTGCCGTTGCGAGTTTGAGACGATGCAGCCGAGGCTGATTTTGGCCGTTGGAGAGGTCAGCGTCGTGATGCGCAACAACGCTGGAGGCATCACTGCTCTCACTCTGGACTCACGTTGCTGTGCGGATGCATTGACCATCTCGAACGCGGTATCATGCAAGATTCGAACCTCTCGCACAGGAGTAGTCACCGTCTGCGTCTTGAGCCAGTCCCGATTCACGTGCGCACTTGCAGGATGTCCCGAAACGTCTTTTCCTGCCTTGACCGCTTTGACGAGGTCCAGCAGCTCATCATCCGTGCAGATGCTGGTCGCGAGCGCAGGATTCTGAATAAAGTTGCTGCGGTGAAGCTGATCCAGAGGATCGATGCTCGAAGAGGTGGAACTCTGGCTCGAGTGGGTGCTGGTAGAAGCAGCATCGCTGCGACTGTACAGAGTGGTGCTGACGGGCATTTTGAGTGTATGCTTGATAAGGAGTGAATCGTAGACGAGAGATGGGCCTTGAGAATGGTAGATGGATGGATGCACCGCAAAGCGAGCGAGCAGCTCTACTTATAGCTTTCGTCATGTTAGAGAGCGAGCGCCCCTCTATACAAGACCTCGTCGACCACTTGCGGTCATGTTTGCATCAGACGGAACGAAAAGTGTTGCATCGCATCAGAGACCGACATGCATGCGTGCCGCGCCGCACATTACCATTCGCGGCGCGACGAGTCGCCCGGCTGTAGGCGCCTTCGCTGGATTGTGCACTTTTTCCGCCGAACGAGCGCCCACGACCGTGAGGGTGGCGAGAAGCTTGGCAGATTGACGATAGAGCATCAATTGCGTGATGTTGGTGAGCCTGTCAGTCGTGAGTGGTGGCGCTGCGATGATGTCGGATTACCCTCGCCGCAGCATCTCCGCGATGAGACCCAGGAATTGCATGCGCGCGTACAGCTCATGACGCTGCCATCTTAAAGAGCGAGTCTTGATCCATCACATGCCCTTGATGTGCAGCCAAACTCGTGACTGCGATGTCGCATCCACATGCACACACACTACACACACGCGCATGCATCCGCACTGGATGGATCACTGCACGCCAGCAGGTCGTGACTCTGGCGCGGCATCGAGATACGGGACCCGTGGATGCGCACTCAAAGGGGTGCGGACATCCGCAAGCTTCGCCGGGCAGCGGCAACTCGACAACGCCGGCGGATGGGCGCGCGTGTTCATCATACAGAGCGACACATGCCAGGCTCAGACTGCATCGGAATATTATCTCGAATGTCTTGTTTCTCGGATTCAGTACCCGAGCCCATTGCGATACTCTACAAATGCTCTGAGGTTCGTAGTGCTCTCATCCGCCAACGCTCTCAGCGCGCCATCGGTTCGCTTGTCGATGGTCTTGGCCTGTGAGTTAGGCACGGGATTCCATGTCAGCAGAGTTGCGGCATTGCCCGGGACGCCTGCAGACCGCGCCACCCACTCACAAGACTCTTGACGGGTCCCACCACCTTTCTCAAGCGCGGCAAGGATGCCTGCTGGCGAAAGACGGGCTCGTCGTAAGGGCTAGTCTCGTCTGCAAAAGTGTCGATGATGGCGTTGGTCGCAGCGACGAGCGTGTTGGGACCGATGGGCCTGTCGGGGCTGAGGACCGACTCGAGAATCTGAAGTGCTCCTTGCGCAATTTCGCCCCGGAGCGACATTTCCAAGGATGGACTGCGCGCAATGATGCTCAGGATGCCAAGGGATTTCGCGCGGGAAGCGTCGTTGTCGGCTACCGACTGCGACGTGGGACTGGAAGCGATGCTGGAGAGGCATACAAGGACAGCGTTTGGCTGATGATCTTGCCATGCGAGCGGCAAGTCTGCTCCTTCGTGCAGTTTAGCAAGCGTGTAGAGGACCAGCAAACATGCGCTCGTAATGTCGAGCTGGTCCTTGGCAGAGCCGCTCAAGACTGCTTGCAAGAGGTCAAAGGAGTCGCACCACGTCTGCAAAAGAGGTTTGCTTGTGGTTCGCCATTGCGCAAATACCTGCCTCCATCTAGACATGTGCTCAGGCGCCTCTGGACTGGATGGTGGCAGAGGAGCAAACGGCGCGACTCCGTCGAACAGGTTCGACACGACGGACAAGGCGCGACTAGAGAGACCCAGCAGGCCTTCCATCCTGGCGCTCGCTTCTGGCAGGCACTGCGAGGCGGCAAAGTAGCATTGCGTTGCCATTCCGACCAGATTGACGGACAGGGAAGAGTCGATGATCCTAGCGGCTGGATGGCTTGAGAATGACTTGCCATCCCATGAAGAAGTGATTCTTGCCTCTGCAGCCACCTCCTCTTCGTCCTCATCGAGGGCATCGAAAATTTCCAACTCGTCCGATTGCGCATCCTCATCGTCTACCATCGCTGCGTCTGCATCAGCGTCTGCGGCGCGATCCTGCACGGCGTCGCTCAAGCCCGAACTAGACACGCTGCCCAAAAGTTCAGCGATGATCTCGAGCGAGAGCTGCAGGATGCCAAGCCTGTCCTCCGCCGCTTGTCCAGCTTTGGTCGTCGTCTGGCCCTCTTCGTCTGCAAGCAGCTCGCTTCCGTTAGCTGTGGCTGCGTCGGCAATGTGTCCTGCATCTGCGCTCTCGCTTCCCTCCATTTCGACATCTGCAGGCTTTTGAGTAGCGCCCGAGGATGTATTGCTCTCCTCGCGCTGCACAGCTCCAAGATGCTCGGTCCACTGCCATTCGGCCCCGTACAAGGACAAGACGTCCGTCAAGCAAGGCAATGCGTGTTGGAGCTCGTAGGCTTGCAAGTGGGTTGATGAGATGCGCACATGATTTGCTAGCTCTGCTGGAAGCGCTGCATTGATGTTCCTGAGGACGCCGACGCTCAACAAGCCCAAGTGCACCATGTTGGTGGTCTGCTCGTCCTTGCCGCCGCTCGCTTCAGTTCTCGCACGATCCAAAGCACTTCGCAACAGGCGTACCGCACAGTCGAGAGCGTCCACGTTGCTCTGTGCATCTTGAGCAGATGGATCAGGCCCCACGCTGGCCGGGTCTAGCCTCGACTTGGTCTTCTTGCTTGCCCTTTTGCCCACGCCGCCGGCCTTGCCTGCGCGGAGTGCCCGCTCCAACTCCAACCTGGCTACACCCGTCAGCGCGGCTGCCGCTGGAGGATGAGCTTCGGTGAGACCGATGAGGGCATTCGCTGCTGCATTGCCCGCTTCCACCTCTAGCGCGCTCTTTTGAGCAGCGATTCGTGCGAGAGCGCTCAGAGGCTCCGAAGAGGCATGCTGATCGATTTGACGCATGCCAGCCAGCGATGCTCGCTCGACGATGGAGCAGAGCACGCAGGTGAGTGCTGTGAGGTGAGGAGCGAGAGGCGCGAGATGCTCGGAACCGGCTTCCAAGATGCACCACAGCGACACGCAAAGGTTGATTTGTCTCGTCAATGCCAACGCCGTCTTTTCATCGTCTTCGTTGGCAGGCGCGGCGGCGGTGGCGGCGGCGGCGGTGACGTGGTTGTCAGCGTCAGCATCCATGGGCACATCGCCAGTCTGAGCCTTGGCAGCGGCGGCAGCAGCAGCAGCAGCAGCAGCAACACCAGCACTAGCAGCAGCAGCATCTTGAGCTGCCGCTGCCTTTGCGGCTTTCGCTGCGTGCCTCTTTTCCTTTTTGTTCATCTGATCCATCGGCTTGTCCACCACTTTGATGTGGCTGGGTGCCATCGCAACGCCATCTCGCCGCTCCTCCGTGTACCTGTGCGCGCTGGCATGATCCAGCCTCATGCTCAGCATGGCAGCGCTGCTTTGCAACTGCTCGACGATGACGATCAGGGCGCCCTGCTCTGCCAAGCTCCTCCTGGCTTCGAAGCCGGCCTGAACGCAGAGGTTGCGCATGGTACCGCTAGCCTCTGTCCTCACATCCGCATCGTCGTGTTGCAGAGCGCTGATCAATCGCTGCACGAGCTTGTGCTTGGCCGACAGCAGCACTTTGCGCTCCGATTTGTTGGACAGCAGAGCGGAGAGGGAGGATAGCGCCCACAGCGTATCGCCCGAAGATGGTGTTGATGGTGGTGCGGCTGTGCTGGATGTGGTTGTGGAAGGAGCGCCGTGGGCGTGGGCGTGGGCGTGGGCGTGGGCGTAGGAGAGGGGCAGCTTGGATAGCAGCGGGATCACAATCTCCTTTGCCGTCGTCGTCGTCGTGGCAGCCCCTGTGCGGCTACCGTTGCTCTTGCTATTGCCATTGCCGAGCGTTGCGTGTTGTGCGCCATTGCTAACCCTAGCCCTTGCGATGGGATCGTGCCGATTGGCTCTGGCTCGCAGCCTGGCCGGATTGCTGCGAGCTTTGGGCATCCTCGTCCGTCGTTTCGCGAGATGGAGCGAGCACTTGTGCGTGTAGGTGTGTGTGTGTGTGTGTGTGTGTTTTGGCTGCTCCCGTGCGTATTGCAACGCTCCTCACTTGCAGTGCGTGGTGGAGCAGAGGGCAAAGAGAGAAGCGTGCAGAAGAAGCTAGCTCCTCGCGCGTTCTGCCTTGCCTGCCTGCCTCGCCCCATCTTCTCAAAATTTCCAGGTCACCAGTCACGTGAGTCAGAAATGCGAGCGAGAGCCTTGGACAAGACCACTTTCTATCGGCCGAGAAATGCTGGGCGGGGGCAAATCAAGCCAACCTCCACCGCCGCCGCCGCCGCCGCGTCGAAGCAGCAGCAAGGAAGGCCGCGCGCTCAATTCATGATGCTCCTGCCTGCCTGCCTGCCTGCCTGCCTGCCTGCCTGCCTGCCTGCCTGCACGTATGCTGTGCCATCACCGCACGCGGCTACAGACATACACTGCACTACAGTCAGTCAGCCAGCCAGCCATGCAGGGTCGCGGCCGGGGCGTTCGTGACTGCAGCACTCACGACTCACCACTCCGCAACCCGCACTCGCACTCGCACTCGCACTCGCACTCGCATTCGCAACGACCACGATGTATGGATGACCAACATGTAGGCTCATCCATCACCCGCTTCACCCACCTCTCTACCATCGCTCGCCCCCTCGTTCGCGCACTGCTCACCATTCCATCCGCGCTGAGATGGTCAAGGTGCCTTTCGTCTCGCCCACCACGGGCAATGCAGGTGAGTATGGGCACAAGAGGTCCAGCATACAAGCACAAGCCATGCTGATCCGCTCTGCTCTGCTCTGCTCTCCCCTTCGCCACACCACCCCTCCTTCCCTTCTCCCCCCCCTCCCGCCCCACAAGTCCCGCCATACTACCTGCACGCCTCCTCTGCTCACTTTCGCGACACCAAGGGCCGAGCAGTGCTGCTGCGCGGAGTCAATCTCTCTGGCTCCTCCAAAGCGCCATTGGGTCAGCCCAGTCAGAAGCTGCAAGGCTTTTGGGAGAGCGCAGAAAGCGGCCAGGAGAGCTTTGTGGGGCAACCGTTGGATCTGGATGATGGGGGCAGCGCCGATGTGCACCTCGCCAGGCTTCGATTGTGGGGCTTTAATTGTCTGCGATGGGTCTTTACCTGGGAAGCGTTGGAGCACGAGGGTCCGTGAGTCGTTGGCGGTGGTGCGGTGCGCGGGTACGGCGATGCGGGGACGGCGATGCGGGGACGGCGATGCGGGGAAGGCGATGCGGTATCAATTCGTGGTGATGTGCTGATCATGGACGTGCCCCTCGCCCCTGCGCTAACCTCGAGACAGCGGCAGATACGACGAAGAGTACATGGACTACACTGTGCGCGTACTGAGAAAGGTCAAGGAGTACGGCTTCAAGGTGTTTATGGATCCGCACCAGGATCTGGTGAGTGCGACACGTGCGCGTCTCAATACACGCGCTCACTCGCACGCGCTCACTCGCTCCACTCCCCACCGCGCCCCCAGTTCTCACGCTTTACGGGAGGGTCTGGCGCGCCGTACTGGGTGCTAACCGCCTGCGGTCTCAATCCTCGGAACTTTACAGCCACGCAAGCCGCCTTTCTGCACTGCGAATGGCCCAGCGCTTCCCATCCCAGTCCCATCGACTTTCCAGACATGATTTGGGCGACCAATTACACTCGCCTAGCAGCTGCAACGCTCTCTGTGCTCTTCTTTGCTGGCAGCGAGTACGCTCCAAAGTGCATCATCGACGGCGTCAACATCCAACACTGGCTGCAGAGGCACTACTTTGATGCCGTCGCTCGGCTGGCCTCCAAGATCAGAGATGCAGGAAACCTCTTGGACGAGTGCGTCATTGGCTGGGACTCCATCAACGAGCCCAATCCCACCTACGTTGGCCTGCAGGACCTGGCTGTGCTGCCGAAAAAGTGGCAACTGAGGAAGGGTCCCATGCCTACACCCCTGCAAAGCATGCGTCTGGGCGTCGGCCAAGCGCAAACGGTGGAGAATTATGTGTTTGGAAGCTTGGGACCCAAGAGGCAGAGTAGCGTCACCGTCGATCCCAACGGCAAGAGCATCTGGCTCTCTGCGGAAGAGGATGCCATCAAGGGCGGACCGCGGTGGGGCTGGAAGAGGGACTCGCAGTGGCCCTTGGGCCAGTGTTTGTGGGCAGCACACGGCGTGTGGGATCAGGCGACCGGCCAGCTGCTCAAGCCAAACTACTTTTTCGAGACCTTGGCACCGCCGGAGGAGAGAGAGAGGTTGGCTAACAAGGATATACGTTTGTACAGGCCCGTCGATTTTGTGGCCGACTTTTGGCTGCCTCACTGGAGGAGTTACGCAGCCACTCTGCGAGCCATCCATCCGGAAGCCATCATGTTCCTGCAACCTCCAGTCTTCGAACCACCGCCCAAGGAGCTCACGTACGACGATCTTCGTGGTCGAGCGGCCGTGTCTGCTCATTTTTACGACGGCCTGACTCTCATCACCAAGCACTGGAATTGGTTCAATGCGGATGCCGTGGGCTTGCTGAGAGGCAAGTACTCCAGCGTATTGAGCGCAGTGCGAGTCGGCTCGAAAGCCATCCGAAATTGCATACGAGATCAGATTGGATATCTGCGACAAGATACATTGGACGTGCTCGGGGCGTACCCTACGCTTATCGGCGAGCTGGGCATCCCCTACGACATGGACGATAAGCGAGCTTATTTCGGAGACGGTAAAGGCAGAGGCATTGGCGACTATTCTAGCCAGACCTTGGCGCTGGATGCTAGTCTGAACGGCTGCGATGGCGCCAACGTCCTCAACTTTGCGCTGTGGACGTATTGCGCAGACAATACGCACTTGTGGGGAGATGGCTGGAACGGGGAAGACTTGAGCATTTGGAGCATCGACGACGTCAAGAGGGATCGTGCAGCTGCATGGCCTTACTCGCAATTATCTGGCATCGTGCGTGCTTGTGACGCCGATCCTAATCTCGTGCCGGGTCCTGGCGCAGGCACCCCACCTCAGTACAGCACCGCCAGTCTCGCTACACTCGTCGCGCAGAGCTCTCGAAGCAGCAGCGACGCTGCTGCGTCACAGACGGCTTCATCGAGCGAAGCGGCACAGCACGTACTTCACGACGCATCGCCGGATGCGCAAGAAGCACCGCTGCTCCTAGCCAAGGACGTGGCTTTGCTGTGCAACGGCAGTCGATCGGCCGCTGCTTTCAGTCGACCGTATCCGATCGCTACGGTAGGCGAGCCGGTGAGCATCGACTTTGACATCAAGACTTCGGAGTTCAAGCTCGACGTCAACGTCACGCAAGAAGACTTGCAAGATGCCCACGAGAGCGGTGTGGGTGGAGAACCCATCGCTACCGATATCTACCTACCCTTTGTACACTACGCAGCGGATGCGCTGGCGGGTGCCGCGAGCGGGAATCTCTTTGACAGTGGCAAAGCGGTGCATTCGGAGCTGAAAAGAGAGCGCGCTCGAGATCTCAAGCGCGCCAACGAGCTCAGTAGAAGCAGTACGCAAAGCGACCTTGCGGCACGCCCACACATGGGCGACGACTCGTCCAGCGTGCTCTCCGACGCGAATACGCTGCGGCCCGCGCCTTCCATGCAAGCATCGAGCGTTTATTCGGAGACTGGCTCGTCGAAGATGAGCCAATTGACCGGCAGCAAAAAGTCGCGGAACAAGTTGCTGGCTGTACCGGCTGGTCGAAGCTCGCCCTCTCTAGTCTCTCGCGACGTCTCTCGTTCAGCGTCCTCCTCGTCCTTGTCGCCCGCGCAGAGCGCTCGTATCCCAGAAGGGGTAGCTCTGTCCATCGATGTGCAAGTATCGGCGGGCACGTGGTCGGTGCAAGGTCAGCACCTCAAGTGGTACATGAGACCAGGCGATGCACTCGTAGGAGTCGATGGGGTGGGATCTCAGACGGGAGCACCCTTCACCAGACATACGATCAAGGTCAAGCGAGCAGGCGGACCTCTTGACTTTAGTCGGAGTGCTTCTGTGAGTGTCCCGGCGCGCCCTCGCACTGCTCCTCAAACATGCGCGCGCTCAACGCCTTCTCGCCCCTTGCTCGCCCAGGCTTGGGATCTCATCACTACGGGCTGCGGCTTTTTTTACTGATGGGCCAAGACGTCTCTGTCCGAAGCAGCAGCAGCAGCGTGCATATCAATGGATAATGTTAGCGTTCGCCTTGGGAGAGATTTTCGATTGCTAGACGAGCGCGCAAAGATGCTCCGATGCGAAGCGTCTGCGCGGGGAGATTGCGTGTCTGGAAAATCGGTGCAAGTTGATCAGAAGTCAGACAATGAACGAGAAGCAAGGCAGTGTTTCCACGGTAAGCCTATACATATGGGCCGGGACTTTTACGGCGCAAACGCGATGCCGCCCCGCCAAAATAACGTGCCGATTGTCCGCAGAGTGTCTGCCATGACTTGACTTTGATTTGCTCCGTGGCCGGTTAGGGTTAGGGTTAGATAGGTGTTAGGGTTAGGGTTAGGGTTAGGGTTAGGGTTAGGGTTAGGGTTAGGGTTAGGGTTAGGGTTAGGGTTAGGGTTAGGGTTAGGGTTAGGGTTAG